AAAGTACAGAAATATGACAAAGTAATACAGGAGGAACTATCCAGAATGGACAGAGAAAATATAGGCGAGATTCAGAAACAACAAGCAAAGAAACGAAAGATGAAGAGAGGGAAAAGAAAGCAAATGCAAACTGTGTAGCGAGAAAGAGTGGTTAGAGATCACCTGATATGGAACGAAGAACGAAGAAAAATGAGAAGGTGGTAAAAGGTAAGTAGGTAAGGAAGGTAAAAGAAGAACGGACTGGATAAAGGTTATAAAAAATGAGGGAGAAGAAAGAAGTTGAGGGCGAGAAGAAAGAGCCAAGATAGACAAAACGGGAAAAGAGAGGAACGGGGTAAAGCGGAGAAGAACGGACGAAGTAATACAGGGTTATTCTAATGGTACCAATTCTAAAAATTCGTATTTATTAATGTACAAATTCAAAACGAATACTCTATGAAAGGCGGAAGTTTCAAAGTTTTTATTAACACATTTATAAATGTTCAATATGTCTGTCTACCCTGTGCTGCACGGCTGGACTGCGAACAAAACTGTCATCAATCCGTCTGATATTCTCTGACACACGCGGTCGGTCTGAGCTCTTTCCTTTTTCCATTTATGTATATGTAGATATTCGAATTCTAAATGTCGAAAAATAATTCTAGTGTTTATTGTGTTGAATAAAACCTTGGACATAACAGAATAATGGGCAAGTTACGTGAAATGTTACCCACGTATTCGACAAACTAATTGTACGCGGTACGCGAATATTAGAAACGGGTCACTAAATTAGGGGGTGTTTTATTTCTTGTTGGTTTTAAGATAAGGGTAAAGCACGTGCTTCCCAAAGGAATGGGTGCCGTGTTATATTAATCCCTTAAGAATGGAGCTTTCAAGGGAAATGCTGAATGTATCAAGAGTTGGTGTTCCCACAGGAATATTCCTTCCCAGTATGTCGATTTCATATTTTTTCGCAACTTATAAGCAGTCTACTCTTTCGAACTACCCCTTGAGGTTATGCTCAAAATCATTCCTATGGCCAAATAACTTACACCCTTCATGTAGGACTACCATGGAGAATAAACAAATAGTATTATGTCTCTTGTAGGAATCACTTCAAAATAGCTGGGACAAATTCCAAAATATGCTAAACATAACCAGGTAATGATAGGTACTTCATTCTAATATCAATGGAATAGCTACTTCATTTCAATATTAATGGAACGTAACATGGATTTTCCTCTCAGCTGGTAAACATTGACTAATCCAGGGTGATAAGAAAATTAAGGTATAACCTTCAGAAGTTTTTTTAGATATCATGTAGATGTAATTTCCAACCACAAGCATCAAATCCAAATTAGATTTTGAACCCACACTCGAAAAATTATGTTGTATTTAACAACACTATTAGACTATTTGAATGTGACTTCGTGCGATTTGTTTAAAAATGTATAGAATACGCTCCAATGAAATTTTCAGACCCCATATTTATGGATTTAATAAACTGTGAATTGTTAAATGTTCAGAATTAAAGTTGCCAAGAGACTTTCCCAAGAAATTTCTGCTTTATAACGTCTACAAAATATGTATTGGCTTAAAGAAGGAATTTGAGAACTTGAATATGTAGCTATATAGTGCGCCTGAACTGCAGTTAGTGGCTTACAAGTTACAAAGGAATATGAAATCGACATACAAATATTCGCGTGGGAACACCAGCTCTTGATACGTTCAACGTTTTCCATGAAAGCGCCTTTCTAGAGGGATTAATATAACACGGCACGCGTTCCTTTGGGAAGCACGTGCTTTACCCTTATCTTAAAACCATCAATTAGAAATGAAACACCCCCTAATTTGGTGACCCGTTTCTGAGACACTACCTAATACCGGGTACAATAATGTAGTTTGTCGAACACGTCGGCGACATTCACGTAACTTGACCCCCGTATTTATTAGTGTCCAAGTTTTGATTTACAAATTTCAACACAATTATGTACAACTAATTAAACGTGTTCTGAATCAATATTCCGAAAATTCTGTCTGTCATTTATATTGAAATATCTTTTTAAATAACTTCGGTAAAAAATAAAAACGATTTTGCAAAATTTCGTTTTTTTCAGGATATCGCCGAAAGTAGTCGGAATTTTTTCAGTTTCAAAGCGGCATTTTGTTAAGCATAAAAATGCGCAACTTTGCTTAATTTAAACTACCTACCAATCTTACAGTTTCCGAGATCCCCATAGTGGTCATCGAATTTGAATCAGCCTGTAGCTGAGCTGTAGTTGTTAGGCAACTCTACGTAAGTTGTTGTAGTTACTAAATGTCAATCATTTATTAATTGAATATCAATTATTCTAATAAATAAATTTAGTGTTTTGCTCAAGTATTATTACTTTATTTCATAATTAAAACTAATACAACAAAACTGTACCTACCTATAGTCTGCATTTGCTTTCTTTCTGCCTTTCTCCAACTTTCATTTCTTTTCTTCTCATTCGCTAATATTTTTCCGCCCTTTCTCTAGATATTTCGGCACCCATTCCGTTAGCTATTGCTTTGCTTATATCTTATGTTCCTCCATTAATACACAATTTTCTTTTTTTGTTGTTACAATTGCATATCTCCATCCCTTGTTCCTTTACCTCCTTCTACCTTTTCCACATTCGTTTCTTTCGTAATATTTTTAGATCACTTTCCAACTCATGTTCCGCCCAATACCTTAACTACTACAGTATAATTATAATGTTTGGTTCGTTCATTTCGCATTCGGTAGCCCAAGAAAAATCTTGGCGATTAATTTGCGCATGCGCACACTACACAATGTCAACGTCTTTATTTATAGAGATACTTTTTTGAAATTTCAACCACAATGATTTTTATTGCTTTAATTTCATAAAGGTAAACATATCACAGATTTTTAACAACAGACTGCGCGAAATCAATTCATGGGAAATGCGCTAAAGTTACTCGCCTTAAGACGAAAACCTTTTTTTCATTTTTTGTTCTCACCATTTTCCTTTCTTGTTTATTTTTATTGGCAGGCATTTTCTCATCAATTTTCTTTCTCGTTTGCTCTTCTTTTTGTAAAAATACCTCCAAAATTTTGACTTCCAGATGGTGCAACGGGGTGCGAAAGAAATTGTGATCTGGGGCCTGAGAGTTTTTTAACAACAAAAATTACTGTTTCATTTTCTCGACCTCTTTTCTTCTTAACCCCTCCTGTGCATTCGTATTTTTGTGTCTGGATGTTTTTTGTACCATGCTTTTTGTTCTATCGACCCCTTACATCGTTTCCAATAATTGTTTTGTATCTATTTTTCTCTTCCGCACGCCTCATCATTCTTTCTTTTTTCTCTCTCTCTCTCTCTCTGTTTTACCTGTTTCAATCTTCAATTTTTTTCTGTGTTTTTACATACTTCTCTCTTTCGTCTAGCCCCCTTTTGTAATTTTCTGTATCTCATTCTGTCCATGCATGTACCGCTTTCGGTCTTTAGGCCGATGAACACTCTTCTTATCTTCTTCTTTAAATTTTTTTCCGCTGGTTCGTAATTAGATTCCGTCCCTGTTTCTGCCATGAATTCTTTATCCATTTACAATATTACTCTATTACCGACCTCATTCTTCCATCGATGTATGCGTATGGCTGCCCTCTATCAATGTTCATGTGTCCTTCCGATTTTGCATTATGTTTTCTGTAAGTTTTAATACCAACTCAGCCCTTTTGTTGTATTTTTATCTCTTGACATTCTCTGTTGTTGGCCCTTTCTCATTGACACCATGACACATTGACACCAATCCTACTATATCCCCTATTCCAGTTTGTTTTTTTAAGAATTAAAAAAAAGTGCTATTGTCTGCGCGTTTTCCGTCCGTCTGTCTGTCCGGACCCACTTCTGCCGTGTTAAACTACTTTTAGCGAAATGGTCCTAAAGTCCTGAAATTTTTGGCAATACCGACCACTACCGCCCTTTTCTATATTCCCTTGCCAAAACAGGAGAGGGGGCTGGTTTTATCGTTCATGGAACTCTAATGAAAGGGAAAACTTAATATTTCGGAGAATTTCTCTAAGCTCTTGATTCCTCTTGCATTAAATAGCGTAAATTTTGAATGTATGGCAGGCGATCTTTAAATGTTTATGTATAAAGAGCCCTCTTCTCATTAATCATTTACCAATAATATGCCTAAGCTATTTCGGTTTTAAAAAATGCACTTTACCTGATGCACTTGTTTTATCTCTTACCAATATAATGCCCTCCTCATTTCTCTCTCTTATGTAGAATATTTTTATTTTTTATTGTCTTTCTTAAATTTTGCATTCGTTTCTTGTAATAAAACTCATTCTTCTCCCTCTACTTCCTTCCCTTTTTTACTTCTGATATTGGAGGTACCTCTGCCGGTTTGCATGGTGGGGAATAGTAAAATCTAGATTTATTCGAGTCCGATGTACGTATAATTTATGACACGAACGCCTCGTTTATATGATTTCAAGTCAGCCGACATGCTTCACCTGCTCAACGCACTAAACTTTATTGGGGATTTGTTCTACTTTGGCTTGTGGAAATCGACAGATTGTATTTATTCTGTATTTCTTGACTTATTTCCTCTTCAAAATTAAAAAAAAACCCCAACGTGTTCCAGAATGTCAAGGTAACATTTTTTTTGGAAGTTTGTCACCTTCTCACTCCCTTGCCTGTCGGTTAAATCGTCAGATTATTGAAATGCACACTTTTCAACATGTATTTTTAATCTGACGCGCTCGAGTAAATCTCCAAATTCCCTATGGGACTCCTCTACTATAGAATAGAAGTCGTAAATAAACAACATCGAAATTTTTTATTTTTCCACGGCGTTGTATGGTCTGTGCAGAACAAACATCGCATTATCCTTATCCATCCGTGGCCACTTTGCTTTGGATGAACTGAAGCCTTAATTCCCTAATGCCAATACTACAATCTAGAATACAAAAGCTGCGTAGAATTGTTGTTTGAATATAGTATTACAAACTTTAAAAATAGGTAGTCAAATAATTGAAAATTTTTAATAAAACTAACTGATTAAAATCGGGTGGTTTCAAGATAAAAACTGAAACAGTGCTAATCTCCGGTTATTAAGCAAGGGTCTCCATTTTGCTTGTCTGGAAGATTTTTTTGCAACAAGTTTACAAAGTCTTCAAAAGGACATTCAAACGTGCACCCGGGTATGGTCAGTGGTTGTAGCGTCATAGATGAATAATCCTGGTAGAAAATCTAGAAGTAGCCCCACTATAAACAGTGTATACGCATATATGACACGCTTTACCAGAACATAATAATTATCGTCATGCCTATGAAGCTCAATAAGTACGCATGCGCCATAAGGGGGTATATGAGGAAAAAACACATCCATGGCGCCTAGTATAGCAGCAATGTTAAGCTCGTGACCAGAATATAGGTTAATTTTACGCTCCTTTAGGGTACCATTCTCGTTCATTTTTGCCCTCATTTCACTAATAATGTCTTCAAGAAGAAATCCTAAGGACTACCTTAATCACAAAGTCATTAAGTATGTTGAAGCAAATTACCCCCAAACAGTTGATTTAGTTGTGGTGCAGCAACAAGCATTTCGTAATTTTTCTTAGTTGTCCTGGTTAAATATCCCGGAAAAACTTGCTTAGTCCATTCCGGAAGTGTCAAACCCCATTCGCTCTACAACCCCGTTCAACACTATCGCTGTCGAACAACAAAGGTATACTTACTTCAGAAACTAAGCAGAAGTATAATCGAAATAGGTCAAATAGTTTGGTGACGTTTAAACCAGAGTGGTTAGATATGTACTCGTATTGTGAGTTGAACATGCTTTCGATCTGCTGACCTTCTTCACTTTTGGAATAGGCGTCGAAGAGTTGAACGTAACGAGGGCAGTACAAAATGGCAATGCTAAGCAACTGCAAAGTGGAAAATATGCTAACAGTTCTCGATGGTTGCAGTACTTACTCGATTGGTTACGTGTGATGCAATATCGTAAGCGATTGGGTTCCAATTCAACCATCGATTCCATGCCAACTGTGTCCAACGAGGAGGATACAGACTTGCCAAGACCAATTCCAACGACTCCTGTGTTCTGCTGTAATCAGTACTGACTGCCCTTACTTTTCCTTTTTTGTATTGCTTTCCCAGTAGCAATGCATATCTCGCACGTAGCAGTTGGCCAAGCCTATATTCTCTCATTTTGCCTTTCTGCAGTTTTTATTCCTGAGTCATTCTAGTTTCAATTTAAAGAAAATGACTTACGTTAGTGAGCTCGCCCAGTCCATAGGGTTCGTACGTTTCGTTAATATATGGATCGTTGGGATACAGTGTACCGGCGTCAGTAGTGCGATCTCCATGTCGGAAGACCTAGAATTTGTTAAGCTTAACATATCTTTATGAACTTTCTATTTTGGCTTACCCCAAATACCATTTGAACGGTTTTCTCATTTGCGCAGTATGCAACCATGCAATCCAGCGCTAAAAATATTAAAATATTCACAATATATTTTAATATTAGAGTCATCTCGTCACCTTTAGAGAAAAAACACGACAGTAATTGCTTATTCTTTTATATTTATGGGTGTTTGATGTCAAATTATCTTATCACACGTCTAATTTGTTTTCCCGTCTGTTTCGGGGGAAACAGGTTGTAAAATGTGCTTAACCTGCTATCAAAATTGACATTGATGTTTTCGGTGTCCATATAAATCTCAACCACGTATTTAATAATATTTACTTCTTTTCATCTTTATTGCCAATTAGAAAGCGTTGATGTTTACTCAAAACGCAATACACTATTCCAAAGTGGTTTTCATCTGAAAGATCCTTGGCGTTATCTGGATTTAGTGGTGATGCTTTTAAGTCGTTGCTACCTGGTAAAGTGGCGTATGTACCTAATCGTAATTCCATTAGTACTTTTTATTTCCTCGATTAGATTAAAGTATAAAGTTGGCTGATATTTATATTTCACCTTTGAATATAAAATTTTCTATTCAAAAAATTGATTGAGTGGCTATGAGGGTAAGGGGATTTGTTTGGTGTCTCTTTCACTATGTGGAGGATGTAATTTAAAATAAAAAAACCTTTGTCTTCCTCAAATTTTCATTTTTTTGCTCCAAGTATAAGCGAATTCGACAAATTGAAGGTGAGGTTCCTCTACTCAATTTTCATTTAAATTCAATTGCTACGTTACAATTAATCTTAGCTTCAACTTCAACCTTTTGTTAGCAATGCGTTTTATTTATTAGGAATCATAAAGGGCATTGGCTCTTATGGGAAGTGTGACGCCCAACCATCCAATGAAACTGTACAAAAAGGTTTCTAAGTATACAGTTTTTATTGTTAGCGAAAATTGTTTTCCTATTGACGAAAGTTTGACATCGCTGTTTCTTTTCGTTCTCCAATTAGAAGAGGCGGACAGACGGACAAAACCATCACATTTTTTTAAAGAAAAAAAAATCCCCTAAGAAGAGGGCCATATTTTACCTCGTTTTCAACTTTTTGACCTCATCCCTTTAAATGAACTGGTCACGACTTTAATTATGTATTTAAGTCCACTCGCTAATAATATCCAGTTTGATTTTTCATTTCCAAGATTATCAGAAATACTTCAAAACGTGCCTGCACTGTTAAAGTAATGAGGGTGTATATTTTGGACAACACATCCCTTACACTCAACTAAGTACCATCTTATGCTTTATTAGTATTAAACTAACTAAATAAATGATATCCCCGAATCCACAAAATAGTAGGTAAGTAATAATCCAGATTACAATACTCTGTACGAATCATCGACTAGATTTTTCTTCAAATATTAGGCATAGTGCGGATTTAACACAATTTACAAGAGTAACAACAATTTGCATGGTTTGGGCGCATTGAGTTTTTCACATTTGCCGTCTCCCATACATTCTTGCGTGAAAAACCACTAATCACTATGCCATTTTACTGCAAGTGTTAATACTTGTATACTCTGCTCATCTTAGATACTGTTCCCGAGTAAAATTTTTTTTGCAAACTCGTATCTTGAAAAGTATTTGTCTGATCGCAAAAGTGTAATAGGGGTTTCGACACCCTGTATACAATATTCTTTTTGGTTGATTCACCTGCGTAGGATTATAATGTTGACCTTTTATTTTTATTTCATAGACCACCATGGAAAAGAGAAACTGGATGTAGTAGTTACTAGTTATAGGGAAAGACGGATCACCACCCAACCATAATTCTAGCTACACGGTACGCGTTTTTGTAATGTTGAAAATTATTACTATTATTATTATAAAAATAAATGAGCTAGAAGGGCTATTGCACTGGAGCGAAATGAGAGTACAAATACATCAAGGTACACAAATTTATCTAACTCTTTATTTATCTCAAACTAATGAAAATACGGAAATTCCATTGAACTAACCTACTACAGGTTTTTATAGAATGAGAAAGATAATTGAAAAATGCTACATAATTGTCACTAAACTTTACTTAGGGTTGCAATGATATATAAATAGTCATTTATTATACAAGACGATAAAAGGATGTTATTTCATGAGTCGCGTAGCCACGAGTTAATTAACTTTTACCAGACGGTTAGTTTCCATTTATCGTCGTGTATATTACAAAACTTTATTTTATAGCAGAAGCCATATAAATCATTGTAAAGCTTCTGACAATTCTGAATTTAATATAGAGACGTCAAAAATAGCAAGCTTAAGCTTTGCCGTCGCGATCGTTTCCATAAAAACAAAATTGTCATATGTCTGAACGTCATTTTATATCGTGCATGTGTCATAAGAATGACAGATGTCATTAGAATGCACAATCATTATCCATAGACTCCTTTCGCACTATCAGGTTTGACCGGTCAGGTTCCGGATCTAATGAAAAACTGATGAGCAGTAGTGCAGTTTTGTGAATAAGACTCTTCGCACTGTCGGGTTCAGATCAGGCGCCTGATTGCCGTCGGACAAGTCCACTAGGTAACCAGGTTTTTTACGCCGGATCAGGTTTAGCCGCACAGGTTTTCAGTCGTATTGTCAATTTTTTAGGAGGTTGCATTCATACGGTCGTTCTGGACAACCTCGAGCGACAATATTGACTATTCCATACGGAAAGTAGGTGAAGACAATGTATGGGATAGTTTAGTCACCATGGCTGGTCCCGGCCGACGCAGGACGTTTTTAATTTAATATTAGCATTTATACATTTCACCAGACTGATGTTGATATGGACGCTGATCGTTAACGTAGGATGTCACACAGGCCCGTAGGGGCTAGTATTTTTAGTCTACTATGCGATCAAAAATGTGTTGCTGTCGAGTCACCTTTGAAATTTTTGTTTACATGTGAAAAGGCGACTCGACCGCTACTCATTTTTGATCGCCCGTTATTAAGATGCGAACCATCGTCGTCGTCGTTTGTCTAATCGTTGTAGCTGTCACGCGGGCGGCCCGGGTTCGATTCCCGGTCAATGCAGAGTTATTTTATATATTATTTAGCATTTCTACATTTCGCCTCGCTAATGCTGATCGTCGACGTAGGAGGTCATATAAGCCCGTAGAGGTATTTCTAATTATATTTTAATAATACTCTAGGAGTATATTACATAAATAATTTGAACGCATCGATAGCACCAATCTGATAAATATATTGTACACCACTGCTGTTTTGAACATACTAAAAGAATCAGCTTATCCCTAGCATTTAGGGGTAGCTGTTTGTCGCTCTTTTTCTTAACTCGGCCCGATTTCCCATGTCTTCAGGTTTTAATACAACATATTTCTCCGTAAGTCTGTGTGCCGGTTGGATTGTGCACGATACAACTTCGTTGCCTTAAACTTCGAGTCGGTTGTTGAAACTTCCCGGGTTCAACTGAACCTAAGGGAAGCTAATGTATTGTTGTGTAAACAACGACATGCAGAGGTTTTGTGCCCGACATCTATAATAATAATGGTTCACCCTGTCGTGGAATTTAATTTTTTAAGAGTTAATTTGGTTGATCGCTTTATAAATTGATTATTTGGATTTGTTTATTTAATTGTAAAAGTGAAATTACGTGTTAAAAGGTAAGAACATCTGGTCATATTTGCGCGTTGTCAGGGGTTTATCTGGTCATTGCGATAAGAACATTTGTTATCGCGTTGCGTAAGGTTAAATTTAATTGGTTTCAAGATAAGCACGTTTTATCTTCGATACAAAAACCACCTTTGCTGAGTTTGCAACATTACCTGAAGAAAGTGGATTATTTGGACGATACAGTAATTATAGTAAAAGAACAGTTTTTATTTGTTATGCTCAATTTGTTGACAATAGCTGGACACAGTATTTTTAAGAGCACTATACAATCTTGTTGCTGCGTTATCTAACCAATATGAATCATGACGAGTCCAGGTATCGAGGGATGCCGCATGCACTTTTGCACTAATGGAACATTTGTCTTTACTATTCACGGTATTCCTGAGTCAGCTGATCACTTTGCTCGCACCACGAAATTTTAAAATATGAATTGAGCTTAAGTTATTTAAACGTTCTATCAGGAGGGCGAAATTTTTAGGTTAGCAATTATCATAATCCTTCGGTAAATTTTGTGCTATTATCGTTCTAAAGCTCTTTATAGGACACAATGCCTCACAACCAGGTAGCACCATTTCTTGAAAGCCTAGAGCGGCGGTTTGTTGGTATAGTACCTGATGATATACTTCAATTAAGTATTACCAATCACAACCACAATTAACTTACCTTAACGCAATAAGTGTTATTCACTTCATGCAATTCCATCAGTACACAAGCTGTATATGGTACGATATGAGGATGATATAAGCCCATGGCTCCCAACAGTCCAACGACGTTCATATCATGTGCTGAGTATAAGTGAAGCTTGTGGTTCATAGAGTGATTGATCTTCAAGTCCATTTGGTCTAATATCTGCCGTAACAAGACACCTAAAGTGTTAATGTGCGTTTTGGAGTTAATAGCAATTAAAGTAATAAATACACCGATCGTGAGCGTTGGCGACTTTAAAACTACGTCTTCCTTGATTATTTCGAATAATACGTTTTTCACAATCGAATTGTAAGGAAGTTGTTGCAGTATTGTGGGCATTTATCGATCGAAATCAAATTGTAATTAAGAAATTAAGTAACGGGCAAAGCAGTACAAGAAATGATTTCCATGAAATCGAAAGAAGCCTGTGGCAGGCAGTTACTCTACTTGGCTAATAATCAAGAAGGACACAAAACTATAAAACGTTACCCACCCCCATAGCGCTTGTTAAGTTCCGGAAGTGCTACAGACATACTATGAAAGTCTTTAGCAGCAGACTCTAAGTAGTCCCTATACACCAGCGACGTCCATTTAGGTAAATGCAATTTCCATTCCTCCTGCAAAAAGAAACAAGTATAATCCTGTGTCTGGAAAGTCATCATGTACCTCGGTGCTCAAGCAGTCATAAAGGAGATTCAAATCGCTAAGACATTCGATATTGTTTCCAGTGTGGTAAGCAATATACGGGAAATTTGAGGTATACTTGCTTTTAATCTTTCGCCCTTCTCCAAAGTCTTGGTACTCGCGGTATATTTGGCGATAACGTGGACAAAAGTAATATGGAAACGTTAACTGCAACATTAGACTCGTTTATTTGCGACCTACGGACATTGTTTAATGTCTTACTACGGAACTGTTTTCCACCTGCAAAATTGCAAAATCGTAAGCGTTTTTCATTTCACTGCCTTTACTATTGAATAGACCATCCAGTACTAATCGCAATGTATCTTGCGCTCTGTTGTAGTTTGTGGTAACAGAATTTATTTCACTTACCGTGTAACGAAGATTCAAGTAGTCGCCATACCTCCCTCTCAATTGTTCTCCTAGGTGAAATGACCTTAACCGACCTCCCTGTATAGCATTTCAAAAGGTTATTTAAAACAAAATGTGTGCTTACAAGGGTAAGTTCTCCTAATCCGTATGGTTGGAAGGATATGTTGTTGTGAGGATCATTTGGATAAGATGTGCCCGCGTCTTTGGTTCTGTCGCCGTGTCTGAAGACCTAATACAGCACAGTGTAAATGAAAAACATAAAACGCTTTGTAATTTTAAGTAGTGGCCGGTTATTTGCATAAGGAATTTTGTTCGAAATAATTTTGATATTCCTAAAGAAATCGACCCTTGACATTTATTCGCACGAAATAGATTTTATATTGTATTTATTGATCAAATCCAAACACAGGATTTGCATTATTTTGTTTCATTCTTGGAAAAATTACGTTTAACTTCAGTGGTACGATTCCTATGGTTGGATTAAAATTTTGTTTAGCATTCAAAGTTGTGTGATTATCTTGAACAGTAGAATGTACACTGTATAGTGTAAACCGAAATCAAATGTTACGGTCACGAGCTCTAATTCTGTTATTAAATTCTAGTCGACTTAATGGTATAACCTATTTTGACTTGATCAACAAGAAAAATCCAAAATCAAGCTAAATTCTTTGGTTGGATGTCACAGTATTGATTTAAATATAAATAACTGCTTAGGGTACCGGTCTGAGCCTACACACAACTTAAAAATAGATAAGGATTAGGAACAAAATTATGGACACCAGAAGAGGCCAACATGATTCAAAAAAAGCAGCACTAGAAACCAATCCATACATCTAGTAAACGGAATTAACACAACCTCCAGGCTTCTATTGCAGTGCTAATCTTAGAAATTTTCAACTGATGAGACTTTCTCGTACCTCCATCTTATGGCAAATCTTTTGTATTGAAGTTCAACAACAATCCTCTGATGATTTACTGCGCCCTTCCGTGTCGCACAACCCTTGAACTATTTCTTCAAAGAAACTGACTATAAACTACTATCTCTAAGAAAGCATTCACTTATTGTTTTCAAAACATTGATGTTAAGAATAAAAGGTCAACGGTAGATTTAACGACCCCAATCTAGTGCAATGTATCATATCTTCTTCAACTCTAAATCATCAGATTATTTACACTCGCAGCAATTAAGGGAGATAACAAGTTGGCAGCAATTAAGGGAGATAACAAGTTGACCTCTTTCCAAACAAATCAAAAAACTATTGAAACATAAACACCCCCAAATACCTTATAAATATGTTTTTTTCTCAATGAAACATGTATATCTTGCAACGGCATTTTCGTGAAACGTTAATTAATTTTTTCCATTAAAAATTTCTGCAATTTTAATCTTTGTTCCTGGGTATCCACAAAAAACTCTTATCATACATGGTGCAACATGACAGCACACTTACTGCAACAACCAGTTCCGGGTTATCCAATTGTAAACACTGAAACTTGCATAAACATGTAACTAACACCAGTACGAATGCTAATTTCATTATCAATTATGTTGCCTCACTGATTTCAAACACATGGAACTAAGATTAAAAAGGTTTCGTTAGCCAACTATTTTCTACGAGTTTGGTCAGTGTCACAAGTGCGTAATTAATGTAATGGTTGTAATTTAGAAATCGTCAGTTCTCTCTTTGTTGGTTTATTTCAATTTTTCCAAAACTTGGAATCTTGGTTTATTTGGGAAGAAATGTTTGTTTTGGTCTTTTCTGATTCTGTAGGTTTTTCGAAACTGGTGAATGGCCGAACCTTTCACAAAAAATAACAGGAACCGACAACAAATGTGCGTAGTTTATTGTAATAGATTTGTCAGGACTTATCATTTATGGCTTTTCGGCAGTATGACATACAACTTGATATTGTATCTACTCCGGACGTTCTGTCTTATTCTCTTCCACGCCATTAAACCATCATAAGTAATACTCTTCACGCATTCTTCAAGTTCGTAAATTCGTTTGATTGTAAAAGGACTGTACAGGGTGACAATTTGAAAACTTACCACCCCCCATATCTTAGTAAATAAACGAGATATTTAAAAAAATCAAAATTCGTTTCGGTAATTCGGAGGGGGAATCACAATGACATAGTTGGCGACGCACCCCCTCACACCCCCTGCGCCCTAGCCACTCCAACTTTTAAATCTTAAATAGGGACTCCCCATGTGTGGTACGTCATTGGAAAGCTCTGAAAAAATGATTTCCAACCATACCAAATAGCATTACATTTAGGTTAGTAATTATCGTGCAAATCAAAAAATAAACATGGAAAATCGTATTTAACTTGAACTTCCAAAGCCGACTCGACAGCAACTCATTTTTGATCGCCAGTTCTAATCTATTCTCAAACTCTTGTCGAACCTTTTCAAATGTTGGTTTTGCAATATTTTGACATTCTTGAATTATTATCTGTCTTGGTTCGTCTATGTTCGCCGGTTGCGTTTTAAATACGACAGATTTCAAATGTATCATATTAGTTTATTTTTTGATTTGCACGATAATTACTAACCTAAATGTAATGCTATTTGGTATGGTTGGAAAGCATTTTTCAGAGCTTTCCAACGACGTATCACACATGGGGGGTCACTATTTAAGATTTAAAAGTTGGGGTGGCTAGGGCGCAGGGGGTGCGTCGCCAACTATGTCATTGTGATTCCCCCTCCGAATTACCGAAACGGATTTTGATTTTTTTAAATATCTCGTTTATTTACTAAGATATGAGGGGTGGTAAGTTTTCAAATTGTCACCCTGTATATCTTTGAGGATTGAGGACACACTGTAGAAGATGTATTAAGGGGGACTAACCAAACTAAGCACTTCCTTCCAAATAAATCCCCAAAGGTCGCAATTTTTTCTTGACAAAGGGAAGTTCTGTGTACATGCCCTTACCACGTAAGCCAACGGTATTTTTTTAATAAACGCGTCTCTAGAGGTTCATTGTTAAGAGAGCAGTATTATTTTTTAAGGCATAATTTTTCCGAATTGGAGTCTCGTTGTCGAGCCAAGACTCGCAATTTTTTTTAATCTCCTGTAAAGGAGTGGACTTATATTAATTGTTGAATGGGGTGTTGAAGAAAAGGAACACATATTAGTGACGTGAGAGGACGCATTAAAATGGTGTTAGAAACTTTAATCTTCGCAACACGCCTCTACCAGGACATAATGTTATGATTAGACCAATATAGGCCAATTTAAAGGCGAGGATGCCATCCTCTTAGGAAGGACGGTATCACTGACATTAATAATGGATGCCGAATTGGTTATTTGCGTTAAAAATTGCAAAAATGAGGAACTCCATTGCTTACAAAAACCTTGAATGTTCTACTGAATGAGCGGCCAACGCGACAAACGGTTCTGTGGAAGATCTAATAAAAAGGTTTCAGGCATCTGCAACGTAGAAGAGCAAATGAAAAAATGTCGTAACGATGTATTTTCTCTATTACGAAGCAGCCAATATTTACTTGTTGAAAGATCCTCGTAACTTTTGAATAGATGGCAATTTTACCGCACAGTGGTTATAGATTGTCCACTATTATTTTCCTTTTTTTTGTGAGCCGTAACAAGGTGCACTTCGTTTGAACAAACAGCTGAGGTGTTAGTTAGAACGCATGGAATTTGATTACCATCATCAATATTTATTAATATCCGGCGATTGGATTCATTCATCTGGGGATTCTGGAATAATTAGGACGAATTTACCTAAAAACTCCAATAGGGAGGATACAATTACGTTTTTGCTGAGTTATCGTTCGGCTGTCATCTGTTCTACGACAAATTTCACTCAATAATTCTTGCTTTATCTATAATTAGCCCTCTTATTTAAGAGTTTAATTCAACTGTAAGGACCAGCTTGAGCTTCTGAATGCAACCTTGAGTTAAATTTACCGTTGACTGCGAGTGCCGACGTATCTTCCACCTGTTGATAACGCGTGGCCATTTTCTGGAATTGGGTCACCGGGTCGTGAGCGAGATTTGATGTCGGGATTCGACCCTCAAGAGAGATACAACTTTCGTAACTTTTTAACGCAATAGTTAATAACTATTTTGCCCCTTCTGGATTAAATAATATCACATTCAAGTAATTTGTTAACAAGAGGACCTATTTAATATCTTTGCCTTCTCGGTTAAGTTATGATCGAGTTTAAAACGTGAATGTTGTTGGAGGCCACCACTTCCTTCTACAGAAGTTCGCCGATTAAGTACCGTATCTGCTATAGAAGCAGATTACTATTACAGCGAGGTCCTTCAGGCATTAGTCAATTAATGCATACCGAGTTCTGTGGCTTGGAAGGTTTTCTTTTGATTATTTGCAGGTTTTAGATGCGAGAAATGAGCTCACTTGTTGGCGTTAACATATAATTGTGATGCAAGGTAATTAAGAGTTGCTTTATATGTTTTACTTGTATTTGGCCCTATACGTGCGAAGTTTTTGCCGTAATATCAAAGTATTTGTGGAAACTTTTAGGGTTCAGTAATCAATTTAGTCGATCATTTTTAATTGGGGATTTTAAACACCTCTGCGAAGTTTTCACAGTTCGCGGTAGAATTTAATAGCTTCCTTTGAATCTGCGGCACCAGCCAGGAGGAAATCGTGGCCTTCCTCAGCTACGAGTTGCCTAAGAACGCGCTGGGCAAGAAAGGCAGAAGAATCAAGTCCACACGCGTGAGGGTAGCTCGTACTCTCGGATTGGTAACCTAGCAAAATATCCCCAAAAATATGCTGATAAAACCGACATCAGGATCGAAGGACTAATAATTGTAAAAGAGTGTCTGATCTTACCTTTAATTTTATCGGCCAAACTTATTACATTAATTGTTAAATGGGGTGGTGAAGTAAATGAACACTAGAAACTCACCTCGATTGGGTAAAAACTAAAATTTTAACTTTTCCCTTAACTTGAACATCGAATTTATATCTAATCTACGTGGAAGTAGCTAAAATTGTATTTATCAAAGTGAAAGTAAACCAAAGTCGCGGCAAATTTAAATTGCTCATTAACATCCAGAATTTCCTGTAACTCACACTTCGTGATGCGCCATCTAATAAGGTTCGAAAAAGGACAAGAGAAATGTTACGGGCACTTCCAATCAACATTTCATGCAGTTAGGAATAACGATTTGGCAACAAATTCTTACTGTTGTTTTTTTTATTTTGAAATTACCTTGTAGGTATAGCCGTTTAGCCAATATTGCCATGTACAGGGTGTAAATCGAAAAGTGGAACATAGGCGTTTAACATGGGAAATTACTTTTTCTTTGCGCAAACGTTTCCTAATTATTTTACGCAAAAATACTTCAAATAAAAGTTATAGAGATACAAATTCTGCATCTAAATCATGTGAAACGATTATTCTACCTCTTCTTGTGCGCGAAAAAATTAATTATAAAGATTCTGTTTTAACGAGTTTTTAGTCTAAGTAACCATGGACTATGATAAAAAAAAAACATAGTCCATGGCTACTTAGACTAAAAACTCGTGAAAACAAATCTTTTTTTTCGCGTACAAGAAGAGGTAGAATAATCGTTTTACATGATTTAGATGCAGAATCTATATCTCTATAATAGTCCGGACGACAAACGCGATATTTTTGAAGAATCGTGCACTTTTGTATAGAAGCATGAATTTTTGTATACGACTTACCTATACCCCAACAGTCATTTTAAACATTAGAGCCACTCTGGCTCTCTGCCAGAGGGGGCGTAGGGTGCCCATTTCAAAACGCCCGTTTTAGCAGTGGTATCCATTCGGTAATACCTCTGCCAACTAGCAACCACTAGGGCTAGAACAAAATTAAAACACGGATTTTGTTGAGCACCATCTTAGCTAAAAAAAATGTTATATTGATATTTACCCTAAATGTATTGAGTGTGGCTTTTTTTGGGGTCAAAGTTAACCTTGATTGTATTTCCCACAAAAAGTCGAGAATTTAGGCTTTCTTCACTCAAAATACTGTTTTTATTCATCTTTTTAGATGTATAGTTAAACTTATTAACATACATAAATTAAATTAATTAAATTAAATTAATGAAATTGTAATTTTATATTATTTGTTGTGTCCTGTTCTTCGTTTAGTAAAATCTTATATGTAGTTTGAAAAGAAAATTGTAGCTTTAGAATAATAATTATTATAATTAATTAATTATACAATTAATTAATACTGTACTATAGCTATTATTCACGATCGCATCCACCACACTTGCAAGGTGGAGTGCAAGGCAAGTTCAATTTCGTACACTTGCAGGATGTACATACGCTGCGCTTAGAGTCACATTTCACCACTTCCTTATGCAAGCTTCGATCGCTGGGGGCAGGTCCATCCGTTTCATCTGATATAGAATCGAAAGCTTCAATTAATTTATATAATATGCAACTTTAATTATTGTGATGTAGTGCAATTTGTCCTCACTTACCTCCCACCTTTAGTTGCTGCGCTTCCACCCGAAATCGCCTGGATCAGGAAGAACAGGGTTTCTTTCAAGGGCATTACCCCAGACATGACCTCCTTGGTAGGCGGCACGGAGCAAATGGAGACGAAGAGCATCCTGTGTAGGGGGAATATTCTCAATTTGCCTACCCTTGTGAACAAATAGGACTCTTCTGCAATCGTTGACAGTTACCTCAGGACTCTGCTCCGTGCTACCTACCAAGGAGGTCATGTCTGGAGTAAAGCCCTCGAGCGAAGCTTGCAAGGAAGTGGTGAAATGCCACTGTAAGCGCATCGTATGTACTTCCTGCAAGTGTACGAAATCGAACTTGCCTTGCACTCCACGTTGCAAGTGTGGTGGATGCGATCGTGAATAATAGCTATAGTACAGTATTAATTAATAGTATAATTAATTAATTATAATAATAATTATTCTAAAGCTACAATTTTCTTTTCAAACTAGGTACATATAACATTTTACTATACGAAGAATAGGACAAAACAAATAATATAAAATTAAAATTTCATTACAATTTAATTTAATTAATTAAATTAAATTTATGTATGTTAATAAGTTTAACTATACATCTAAAAAATTGAATAAAAACAGTATTTTGAGTGAAGATAGCTTAGATTCTCGACTTTTTGTGGGAAAAACAATAAAGGTTAACTTTAACCCCCAAAAAAACCACATTCAATACATTTAGGGTAAATATCAATGTAACATTTTTTTTAACTAAGTTTGTGCTCAACAAAATCCGTGTTTTAATTTTGTTCTAGCCCTAATGGTTGCGAATTGGCAGAGGTATTACCGAATGGGTACCATTGCTAAAGCCGCCATTTTGAAATGGGCACCCTACGCCCCCCCCTGACAGAGAACCAGAGTGGCTCTAATGTTTAAAATGACTGTTGGGGTATAGGTAAGTCGTATACAAAAATTCATGCTTCTATACAAAAGTGCACGATTATTTGCTAATCCTCCGGACTATACCCAGTAAACACGGAGACTTTTCAGTGATGTAATTGATACATCCCAACTGAGATGTGATAGCTTTCAGAGATGTGTCATGTAGTGTACATTTACGTTACATGTAATACAAAACGCCGGTTTCAGACACGCGCATTTGAGCCATCCCAGAGATGTACAGAGACGTTCCTGACACCTTAATGAAACGTGGTTTGTATCGTCTCCGAGACTTACCTGACACATCTATGCCACATTACTCGACACATGCATGGGACCTCTCTGATACTTTGCTGAGTCATACATGGCGCACCAAGTGACGCATGAATGAGACACCTTTGAATCATCTATTTTATGTCTCAGCCACTTCACGGAAATGCTATTGGTACATCACTAAGCCCGTGAATGAGACATCTCGGATACTTGGATGAGGTGTTAAAGACAGGCCATAGACGCATGAATGAGACATCTTTGAATAATTTTCCGTACCTACCTAATTTTTTTGATTCTATTACCATGATTACGTACTAGCTACGCCAGCTTTTAGAAACGTTTTTTTTCTAATGATGAAATATTAATAAAAGACGAATTCGAATAAAATAAGCTATCAGTGTTATATAACACAGTGTTTTAGAGTTTAATGGACTCCCCTAACATCTAAAATGGGCATCGTTCTTTAAGTACCTATACAATATACCTAGATATCTTAATAGATATAAAGTATATGTGTATAATGACATGTTTCTGGTATAAGTATAAATGAACTGACGAGATATCTACGATAAATACCTGAAGTAAGGGTTTACTAACTACCTCAATTAGAACGTCACGCAAAAAGTAAATAATTTATTACAAAGAACTATTTATGTATGAGCACACTTATTAAACAAGGAAATTCTTATTTTACGGGATATAATTAAAAAACTAAGATACCAATATGGTAAAATAAAAACAAAAAAGCAACATTTATTATTATTACATTTATTAGGCTGCTAATTTCTTTCCCTGGTTTCTCTTAATCTAGCTTGACGAAACCAATCATTTATAATGGTAATTATTTCGTGCTCTTGGATGCTGTTATACATACGTTGTTCAGCAGCTGTTAACATAGGCATCGGATAGTAATAAAAATATTAAACAAATATCTTACCTATTATCCTGTTCATAAATTTTAAATTTGATAATTTAAAATTCCCCCTAAGGCCATGCCAGGAGCAGCTTACTGCTAATTTATTGGTGAATACTTTCCGAAGCATGTTAACTAGGGCGTCTTTTGCATTTTTGCCGCCAATGGTTTGTAAGTATGAGGTCTAAAATAAAAGAATGAAAACCTTAGTGTTGAGTAAATTATACAACTCACAAATTTATGTGAAAACTCCCCTTCCTCAGCCACAATGTTTTCCAAGGTGCTTAATTCCTCTAGCGTATTTAATGGGAGCTTTGTCTGAACCTCCTCTGTGTTTATTGATATAATGTTTGTTTGGTTTTGATTGTTCAATTGTTCCAATCTGGATTCCAGAGATTTTATCTGCACGAATATTTTTTTCATGTTTGTATGAATATTGTCTGAAGCATAATATAAATTATTTTTATAACTTTTTTCTATTTGTAAATATTCACATACCAAAATCGTGTCTGTGATCGCAAGTATGTATTAGTTCCTGCAACGTGGAATTTCCAAAATCGAGCACTATGGAATTGTCTAGTGGACGTATCTGGTCTGCACCTTGAATAATCCTACCATTAGTTTCAAGAAGTGTAATCATTATCATAATGACAATACCTTCATTAGATTCAATGATGCTGCCTGTATTTGATGCCATCGGTACATTTTGTCCATGTTCTTGCGATGATGATAGCAAGTTTTCATTATTATTAACTGAAATAATTTAGTATAAATTTTTGGAGATTCTCAACTCTTAGTAACGGTTCTTTGTTAAATTGATACGTTAATGTGATAACGGGTTAAGTACAAAAATCTCTAAAGTAAGTTGACTTCTGCTTAGTACGTTTTAAAAAGTCGCACAAAGAGCTTACCGTTATTCGTAGAAGATTGGCGTGTGTTTTCTCGCTTAGAGAAACGTGGCGAAGATCTCCTTTTCTTAAGAGTTGGAGGTGGACTATCTAAAATGGACGATTTAACGTTAATGTAAGTAATCACAAAATTTTGACGAACCTTTAGTAGACTCTTCATCGTCAGTAGACGTTGATTTAGTTACACTGGTCTTTTTTCTTTTCCCCCTTCCAGTTTCGACCTCTTCACTTGATGTGTAATCTGTTCCAGCATGCTTTCGTGCAGCTTCCAGCGTATCTATAATGAGCGTAATAACTAAAACATGTAAGCAATATCTGACAAAATTTACCATAAAACTTCTCAACTCTAACTTTATAATTCCCCCATGTGTCAGAGGGTTCTATCCCCTTAACCATTAACGCTGTGGGATTCAGCGATTTTGGCCACTTGCAATATTTCATGTCCTCGTTTAACCATGAGGATGGAATTTCGGAGAAAGATTCGTTTTCTTCGAAATACACCACTGCGAATTTTTTTAAAGACATAATTTTCTTCCTATAGATAGTATAGAAATGGTGTGATTAAGTGTTAGTAAGTAGAGTATAGGTACATTTATACAGTGGTTAATAAAATGTACAACATAATTTTACAATTGGTAATTAATGCAAATATGGCATAACAACATATCCATCTAAATATTTAAGGCACATACATTTATTTTTTATATCAGAAAATGGTATTTCAAAAGTGTCTTCCATCACATCTGCTACATACAAAATGCCTAAACTTTCTGATTTACATGGAACAGAAAAAAAAGATGTATTAGTTTTGTATGTGTTCACGGTGAAACATAAGACATTAGTTTTCTGAGATATTTTCAAAATATTTACAACTCTCCCGTCATAAAGGATACAATAACTATTTGGTGCAGTCGTAGTTAGGGTGAACGACTCAAACTCTGCTTTGTAAATTACATTAAGCTTGGAATGTAAAATAGGATACTTTTGTAAAACATTTCTGTTGTGATTCTTTTCCTCTATAATTCTGTTGCATATTTGTTCAAGGGGTCTACCCGATATGTGGAGCTTTCTTTTTAAGTTATATAAGTAATTCTCAAATTTAAAACCACTGAAATTTTCTAACTGTCCCAATCTCTTTACATCTTGCGCTAAATGTATCAAATTATGTACATTATATGATAGATAATGTAATCCATACATATTTCCATATTTTCGTACAAAATATAGAAGCAAGTTATGTGCATAATCTATCAAGTCAGTATCAGAATTACCATCACACAATATTCTAATAGCTACACTTAAACACATAAAGTGTCTATAGGTTTTCACAGACAATATATTATTCATTACAATTGGCCCCGTATACAGCAGAAATTGTCGAAACTCTGTCGCCTTCCAACGATCAATTTCATTTAAACTCCTTGGCTGTCGTGCAAATTCTAGAGTAATATAGGCTCTCATCGATATTAGTTTACTGGAAGCTTCTTCCAATTTATTTGGCTTCAATCTGATATTTAATTTTCCTTTCACCCAAAACTGAAGCAGACGTTTCATAACACCCAGGCAAACTAAATGCATATAATCCAGTCCCACTTGTGATACCATTCCTATGGGTAATTTTTCCAATGCTGTCGTTTCTCTATGGTGTTCGGGGTGAATTCTGTTTTTAAATGATGCATCAGTTCTCTCACTTGAACTTGTCTCGGTAAACACAACCCTATTTTCAATGAATTCGCCTTGTTGAATACATTTGGGACAACCAAAATAGCCTGTATGGTTTTTTATACCACATACGTACGCCTTGGCTGGAGCATCACATACAATAGCGTGCAGTTTTACCACAATGGTTTTATGATCTAAAATTATACCCGACTGTAGAATGGTATTGGTTTCGTCTACAAATTTTTTAAAAAATTGGTTTACGTCATCTGGTTTCGTATTTCCTTCAAAAATTCCTATAGGGAATGGGGTTGTGTAGAATTCACTAGAAAGGATAGCACATAGTATAGGCCAAAATTGAATAGCTGAACTCTTTGACAGTGGTAGCCCATCTATGTTTATAAGTAGATTCACTTCAGTAGGGTATTGGTTTTTAGGGTAGTGTTTCACGATAGAGTCTTTCAATTGCTCATACACTCCAAAGTGTGCGTAACGACCTGAACTAAATGTTTCGATAAAATTGGCTGAGTTTCTGGGTGTACTCAATAATGTTCTGGAATCGTTTGGTAAATCACAGTGACCATTCCTTCTTAGCAAAGCCAGCAAATCATTCACTGCAGTTCTGGGTATTTGTGAATACTTGATAACCCATGTTCTCAGATCTTCTTGTAAACCACTAGAACTATCATATGTGTTAGTTTCAATATCTTTTACATAAACACTGAATGTTTCCGAGTTTACCGAATTAGCCTGGGAATGAGCAGCTGGCAAACTAGTGCCTGTACTATGTTCACCTAAAGCAGGAAGTTTTGATGTTTTTTGTCATGTAAATTATTGCTAACCTATTGATGATGCAGAACCCAACCAAGTAGCGGTATCGCAGCCCTGGTCTATAACGTAATTGTCCACCGGAATTGGAGATGTTTTCTCCATTATATGGTTTGGAGTTGGGACTGAAACAGTGGCACGCGAACAAATGGCTGTGTTAGGATTCATCTCTCTTTCCACTAGTCTCCATTTTTGTCTATCGGATAGATCACAAAATGGCTTCCTTTTCTTGCTCATGACGTACCTTTTTACTTAGACCTTCGAAAACACAAAAGAATATGGCAACCTCAGTATAAGATGCATTCCCAGCATAGATGCAAAATAAGTACCTCATGTGAAGTCAACTCAATTATGAATGTTATACCAATTAAGTTAAATTTTCACCAACAATATTGTGGTACACTTATAGTTTGTATAGAAACCAATTCCTTTTGATGAGTCCTTTCCTTAGAATACCATGACGGGTAAATCGTGTGTTAATTATTAAAAAAAATGCGCTAAAAACGGGCATCGTGCCCATATTGCTTTTTGCGGCATTTATCTCGGAATTTACTATGCAGCCTACGCTACAAAAAAACAGTGATCCATAGTTACGAGTCAATTAGATTATCAAAAATATTTTCTCTCTATCAAAAGACGTAGATTTTCATGTAGATTTCTAAAATGCGATAAAATATGGGGTGTTCTATTCAAAATAAAAAAATTGCTATCGACATCCGGTATAACCGGAAATGTAACGATCACGATAATATTTTCCTTCAATAAATTATGAAAAATTATATTGGTAGCAACTTTTCAGATTCATATTGTCAATGAGAGCTTGAATACTTTTAGGCAACGGTTTGCGTGAAACAGATACATACCCCTAGAGATCTTGAACAACACTTTGTTTTCAATTCCAAATTGCTTAAGTAATGTTTAACATTATAAATTAAACTAAATCCTTTTCTAGTTTATACATTGTGTGATTGTATAGAATCAAAATTGTATTGTAGAAACGGCAATTTTGTTTCCTTATACCAACCCTAGGCTAAACGGAATTTTGAAATTAAGAAATTTCTCCCTTTACCACAATAAGTTTTAAAAAAACCTAAATACGTATTTCGACCACTAAGTGGTCATCATCAGTAGGGTAAAAATTCACTGGATATTGATCGCGAGAAGTACGCTCATCAGGATAATAATTCCGTGACCCGTAAGGACAAATGCGAAAAAACAGTTCAGCGCCAAAATCTACAGTAAACTGTTTACAGTTACAGGGAGAAATTTCTTAATTTCAATATTTTTAACCCACACGTTCCATTGATTGTGTAAACGGAATTTGTCTGAAATTTCGCTAATTTATTGCCGGTGATTACATATTCACACAAATATTAAGATTTTATAGTAATTCGCCTGTCCATCTATCTAATGTGCATCAAAATCGAAAAACTTGCATTTATCTTTGCTTATATAATTTCAATCTTAATTAAATACACAAACAAAAATAGATAGATTAGGTACGTACTTACCTATAGTGATGCCTTCAAACCAACCGGATTCCGGAAATGTACCTAATCACGAACACAAATCAAAATTAACAATCACGAGGACGCGCACGAAATCAATGAATGAACGACCCTTAAAACGAAAACGAATATCCACCCTAGAACCGGTTAAGCACACTTTTCGATCCGCTAAACAGGTATCTTAAGTAAACAAGATTCAATTCAAAGAATTTACAAAGTTGTTGACTTTGTACTCGCACGGCGATTATAATATTTCGTGGCCTACTGAAAAAAAAAACGAATAAACCCCAAAAATTATATTTAATTCATACTATACCTATCTAAAAATCGTATTTATTAAAAATTAGTTCAGCTATGGTATTTTAACAGATATATCTAAGTTAGTAATATGAAATAAATTTGTCTGTTATGATTCGGTTCGAAATTCATATCTCATCAACGACCCGCTTCGGTAATAATTAAGTTCTTGATGTACAAAACCTACTGATTGTAGATTTTAGTGGTTTTTACGTAAGGCATTGGCATTATCCATTAAATTAATCCGCATTTAAATAAATGACATTTGGCATGTGACCCACTTTATGAATGTTTTGTGTACCCAACTGAAAATTCAAATTGTCCGCAATCATTATATGAATCACCCGTTATATTACTACTACACGTACGTGTGTCGCGTTGAGAAGTTACATATATTTTACAGCACCTCTTATTGAAACATCTACATTAGATACATGATATATTTCTGACACGTCTTTGTTTAATCCCGGTGATTCGGCTTGTACCTCGTAGAGACATAGCATTTGAGCTTTAGTTGTGACATCTCAGAGACCGTATTGATACAGCTCTGGGAGCTAGATGACACGTTTTTCAGATACCTCTGTTTAGTCCCAGCGATATGGCATACAAGTCCCACTGAGATGTTTGTATTGAGCACTAGGCGAACTATCCCTGGGGCATTGAAAATGTGACATCTCAGACACATGCGATATTAAGGATTCAAAAACATCTAATATACGTCTCATCGACACATCTCATCAGAGCTTTAGTTGCAACATCTCGGAGATCTTATTGAAACATTTGTGTTTGCTGGGTAACTTTTATTGTACATAGTGGTAGCCTTTTAATTTCGATTTATTTATTACAATCATCAGTTTTGTGATAAGTAATAGGCACTAAGAAATAAAAACATAAATATAATACAGTGCACATGTCTTCAACTGGTATTCACTATGTTGCAATTATCCTCTTCTCCCGGAAGGTTTTGTGCAAGTATCTCACGAAATCTTTCAATGGGACACAGAACTTCACATCCCGGTATGGTCATCTCTTCAAAATGCCCTGGTGTATATTTTTGATATAGTACCTAAAACAGAAATAGGCATCATAGTAGAAAGTGACGTTTTTAGTTTACCTTTACATAATACCATCCGCTTATCTTGTGCAACTCCATTACTATACAAGCTGAATATGGAACTAGATGGGGGCGATATATGTTCATGACTCCCAAGAGTGAAACTATATTAAGATCATGTACTGAATATAAGTGTAGCTTGTGGTTCGTTGAGCTGCTAACTTTCTTATGCATATTATCCAAAATTATTTTCACTAAGACACCTACAGTGTAAAAGCATATCACATTCACATCAATCTGAATGTAAAAATTACTACCTCCGTACAGTGGGTGCAGTGCCGAGACCGAAGCAGTTATCGTAAAGAAGTCTTGTGTGGCAGAGCGCAAGTAATTTTTGTACACAAGTGACGTCCATTTGGGTAATTTCAATTTCCATTCTTCCTGCAGAAGGGACTACAATTGACAAGCGTAGATCTCGCCTCATACCTACCTCGCTACGTAGACAGGCATAAAGAAGTAACAAGTCAAATAGTTTTGTTATATTAAGGCCAGTATGTTGTACAATGTACGGAAAGTATGGTTCGTATTTGCCTAAAACTTTGCGACCCTCACCAGAACTTTCGTACTGCTCATAAATTTGAAGATATCGCGGGCATTTGCCAAATGGCTGCAATCTAGTATGAGACTCGTAAAGGCATTTTCGTACACCTTACATTGATATATTTTTCCGGTAAGATTTTCCAATCGTTTGGATTTTGCACACCGGTGCTGAATAAACCCTCAACAACAAATTTGAGAGTGTCTTTGGTTCTTTTGTAATGAGTACTGGCAGCGTCCACTTCCTCCGTTGTGTATTTCGGACTCAAATAATTATCATATTTCCTTCTAAGTTGTTGTCCTAGGAAAAATGACCTCAACTTACCTTCCTACAAAACTCCAAGTAACGCTGTAGGAAAAAATGTACTATTCCACTTACATCGGTAAGTTGTCCTAGACCATACGGATAGTAGGTGACATTATTGTAAGGATCCTTGGGGTAAAATGTCATTGCATCTTTCGTTCTATCTCCATGCCTGAAAATCTATGCGATATATTTAATCTTTGCCTGTTCTTGATTACTTATATAATTAACATATTAATATAATTATTGCAATAATTGATCCAAACGTCATTCTGTTTTTAATTGCTGGGATTACGTATTCGATAAAAAAGTTACAAATGATACCAATGAATAACAACTTGACCTGAAAAAATTTAACCTACCGGTAGCGAAAGGCAGACCGCCACAAGTTTTTCACCCGGAAGTTGAAATGAGCAATTACATTTTTTTTTATTGATTAAATGTATACACTTTGTGACCACTGAGTAAAATACACGGCCATGGTTTAAAATCTGTCAGTATTCTAGTTAACGTTATTAGATGGAAATTGTTAAAAAAAATGAATTTGGTAATACTTACAGCTACTACTAACTCCAGCTGGCCTACTTCTGAACATTTAAAGAATGTTGTTAATAACAGAAAAAGTAGAGTGGACATTTTACTATGTATCAGTAATGTATACTAAGTTTAATGCAGCAGTGTGAAATTCCCCTCCTTTGGTCGCGACAAAATCAAATTTTCTATCTACAGTTCAAATCCTCATCCATGCCAAACGCAAATACACCTGTGATACCATTTATCAGAAATAAATATACACAATTATAGTTTGAACGTGCAATGCAATTGTGATAAGCAATCCGTTTTTTTTTCAGTTTTATACTTGACACATTATGCGAACATTGAATTAAGTATATTAATCTACTTTATTAAGCAGAGTCGTACTTACAGCGTGATGGTAGTGGTCGTAAAATGTTGTCCGGCGATCCTGCTGAAAATGAAACTCAAATTAGATATTATCAATTGACGCTTATTAATTTTATTAGGTTCTGTTAAGTTATTAAAGTTGACCATTAGTTTTAAGATACCTTGCAGAAGGACGATCAAAAATTAACTCAATTATCATGCAGCATCGAGTCAGTCTTGTCTTTGTCTTTGGTATTTCAAGTTACAATTTTAGAGCTCGTCCCTTCCCAGTTCTTTTATTTAAAGTAGCACAGAGACAAGGTAAATTGAAAACATAATGAGAGTTATTTACATTTATTCCTTAATAAACCTGTTGGAAATAAACTATTTTTCAATTACAATCCACACAAACATTTTACAATAAATGCGCCCTGGAAGAAATAATCTTCCTAGGCAATTTGAAAGTGTACGGGCGTTCCAGAATAGTGAAATGGTAATTATATTAACACATTAAGTTGAACGACTCGAGCGCCACCAAGAGTACGGTCTCGCTCCTGGTAAAGGTCGGCGGTAGCAGCGGTTTGACGAATCGGTCTTAGCAGACTCGGGTTAACTCAACAGAAGTGATTTAAATACGGTTCAACACCAAAGGCAAAAGGTTTCTTACGTTTCGGTAAATCAAGCAATGGAAAAATACTTAAGCGTTTACCTTATATAAAATTCGGCTATACCATGGAAGTTCCCAGTCAGCCAGCGTATTCAGCTATCTACATCCAAAAATTAAGACTTCTTTGATTGATTGTGCGGCCTGATGACGTCCTAAAAATTTGTAATTGGTCCCACTTGGCAGCACTTTTATTTAACTACTGTTAATTTCACTTACTTAATTGGCCGGATTGAAAATTCTAAAATCAGTAATCCAATTAATATCTATTGTTAGTTCGAATGATGGGACCAACCGGTGGTGTCGGCGCTATCAAGCTGATAACGGCGTAAACCTGTTAATAATGGCTTAACGAGAAATTCTGAAATACTAATTTTCCATCCACCTCTAAAGGACAGCTTTCGGACGCAACAAAGACAATTGAAATATCTTGATGGGAACGGTTGCAAACGGCGGATCAATTGCCACGTGAATTACGGTAACGGAGGCGGATGGAACACAACTCTACAAATTAAATCAATTAGCTTTGGCTTTTATATCTTCAACCAACACAAATACTTTCGACGCGACACTTTCATAACGAAGCGCCTGATTAAAACTCTAGACACTTCTAGATACCGGGTGTTCATCTACAGAATGATGATTAAAACGGGTAAACGTCAAAGCGTAACGGGTGCTTCGTTCCACACAATCCTACAAAATAATTGGTTTTTAGCACAGAATTGAGGTTCGTGTGTTCATGATTAAATACTAAACGAGTCGCTTGCATTACAAACTGGATTTCATCCGTTAATCTAAGCCAAAGCGACGCACCACACACTCGCATGTACGCAAAGGCAGCCTGATAAACAATACAACCGGATGTTACGCGTTCTGGCTTATCGTGATAGTAAAACACCTGGGTTCTTGAAACCATGTCAGGTTGCTTCTTCGAGTTTTATGCCAGTTATCTAGATGGATGCCTACTAAGCATGCAAGCGGCTCTCAATTTTTTTAGACAAGATTTTATTGGCTTTGTATGACATTTTATGTTTCGTTAAATGACTAAGCCGAGGGCGTGCTTATGCTAACTATTTCCGTTGACTGAGCCCTTAATCTTCGGTCTACTACGAGCGAACGAATAAATGGCAGTACTCGGCACTGATTGACCACGGAAACGCGGACCGGTATTAGGTGTTGAAATGGCCTGAGGTTTACAGAACCCACGTTGGGAGCTCAGAGGCCCCACTAAACTAGTATAACTTTCTTTGACACACTTCAATGAATATTCACGAAGTGATAAAATTAAAATATGAGTGAAAGGGGAGGAATTAAATTATTCTTTCAGCTAAGTTAATATAATTTACCTACTACCAGCCTGATGTGTAATTAGTAAACTTAATTCAATTTATGTAAAACAAAACAACCCATAAAATAGTAAATTGCATATACGTAAAAAACAACAGTGCAAAAACCCGACACGTCAATGCGCTACTCCGCCATCGGAATCTAGTCTTTCCATTATCCATAGTGTTATTCTTTCAGATGTGAGGGGTATGTCACCACAATTTTGAGTAAAGCTTTAAGTAATTTTGAGTCAAAGTTCGATCATTTACTTCATTTAAGAAGCATGTACGTTTATCCTGAAAAAATATTCCTTAGATTCAGATTGCGAAATCTGAAATTTAACGTGAAGGTGAAAAATGTACAAATTGATCATGCGGTCATTGTCTCAGCAAGGCTGTGCAATGAGCAGGGCAGCCGTTTTGATGCCAAAGGAAATTATTACGTAGTTCTAACTCTATCGTATTAAGAAATGGTATAAGACAAAATTTTCCAAAATATGTTCAACTAATGTGAGCCGATGATTTGATCATAAAAAATTCCACACCATACCTTAACTTTTTGGTAACGTTGACTTCGTTTGCGTATTATGTATAGGATTCTCGTACGCCCAACTACGAGTATCTTGTGAAGATTAATTTATTTATTGATCTTACGCCCAATTGCAGAGTGACCCGCATAATGCTTTTTAGAGGTGCCTCTGCAGAAGGTCTTAAGTTGTTCTATACTACTCCGGTATTTACCTTACGAATTAGGAAAACTGCAGGAAAACCTAATTCGGAGTAGCCGCCAGAATCCTCGAAACTGATCTAAGGAAATTCCCATCTCTGCCACATGAAAAATAATTAACATAATTATGCATATGATGCGTACCCGTTTGTGCAAAATGCACATTCATCGGTTTAAGTGAATGCCGCACCTTTGGCTTAAAACGGTTTTGCTTAAATCCAGTGCTTCTGCAGGCTCCGATATCGATAATTTTGGGTTATCTTAAACTGACCCCTTTGCTGATAATGTAGATGCATCGTAATTTTTCTTTGATATCTGTACATTCATCACCGACCCAGTTTCATTGAATTTCTTTAAAATCTTTGCAATCCTTGACCCCGTTGATAACGAAATTGTTAATTAAAAACATCAATAGCGTACTGACACGACACAGTTCCAATACCCAAACCTCCTAATATCCTATTAAATAAATTCGCTAACATTTTCGAAATGCCTTCACATAATCAGTATACTGAGACATGCAAATAAGATTCTGATGTAGGTACCATGAACGTATACAAAATCGGCTATCTTGATTTTTTGTAAAATGCAAATAAATTAAAAAAAAATAAAAACCTGTCATTTTTTATTTTTAAAAATTCGAATTTTTATTTCAAAATTTGTATTCAGACTACATTAGTTTATCAACAACTTTGTTTTATAAAATTTTTGTAAAAAATAATAAATAATGGTACTATTCCCCTGAAGCATTTTCATATTTACCTAATTTATTACCACCCTGTACACGAGACTAAAATTTTATCGGCAGTTCATTTTATCAACAAGCAGAACTTTTTATAAATATTGACGTTTTGTCGTAAAATGAATAATAAAGATTCTTTTCTATTGGGCAGGCGTACACAGTAGCCTACATTTTGAGTTATTCGCGAAAATCAGATGTTCTGCCATTTTTTAAGTTGACTATACTATAACAAAAAATAAAAGCAACGTGAAATGTACCCCACATTAAACATTATTTTTCGTTTAAATAAAGCGTATTGGTTACAACATGAAATGTTTAAGTGACAAGTGTACGTATTGATTTGTGAAATAGATGTTAGCTAAGATCAGGGCAAAGATAAATCTCGTTTTTAAAAAAGTTGTTAATTCTATGAATCTACCAGAAAAATCGTATCCTGTGTGTAATTACAGTTGTCCTTGTCGCCAGGGATGCTCCTGTCGACAGTCTTTTTGAATTGTTCTAGTGGACAGAGCACATCGCATTGAGATAGCTTCATTTCTTTAAATCCATTTGAATAATCCGCTTGATACAATACCTAAAGTTATTGTCTAGTTATTTTAGTTGCTAGTCATACTACGCTTTTCAAAGCTTGTGCAATGCATTATTTATATTTGCCTACCTTTACGTAAGGAATGTGACCTATCTGGTGTAATTCTATTATAATGCACGCGGTGTAATGCGGAATGTGCGGCCAGTAGAGTTCCATTGCCCCCAATAATCCAACAACATTCAAATCATGTGCAGAATACAAAAAGAGTCTTTTTGTTTCCGTATCCTTATCGATGTTGCGCAAGATTTCATTGAGCAAAACCCCTACAATAAATATGACTTTATTTTCTAAAACTTCTTCAACCGTATCTTACCTCCAAATAGTTTATTGAGACGTGGTAACGCTACCGTCGACATATAAACATTTTCCACAGCAGACATTAAATACTGATAAACGGGCTTTGCCCAAGTAGGTATTTCCATCCCCCATTCTTCCTGTTTCAAAAAATGGGTCAGTCACAGAAATACCCGATGCGCAACCACATACATTAGATTTGATAGTATCAAAAATGGGCACTAACTGGAAAAAATTCGTGATGTTCACCCCTGTGTCCTCGTATATGTAGGGAATATTTGCTGCATACTTTTTTAACATTTTTATTCCCTCTTCGGACGCTTCATACTGCTTATAAATTTCTTGATACCGAGGACAAAGAACCATTGGAAACGACAGTAGCTGCAAAAGTATCTCATTAACCCTTCTTTTTGTATCTATACATTCTTACTCTGTTATTTTTGATTGGTGCAACCTCAAAATCAAAGTGTTTTAAAGGATGAGTGAGATCGAAGTTGTCGCCATCGTCAAATAGTCCGTTTAGAACCAAGTACAAACTGTCTTTTGTTCTATTAAAATCAGTACTTACAGCTTTTAGTTCAACTCCATCTATATATTTACTATACATTGTTCTTAGTGCATTGCCTAGTAGGTACGCTCGTCTTCTTCCTTGCTAAGGATATAAGGTTATAGTATGCGTACAAATAAACAAAACATTGCATTGCCATACATCGTTTAATCTGAGACCGCCCGCTCTGAAGCATGTATAAATATTCTGCCGCAATGGCGCGAATCTAGTTACTCAAAATTATCTGGCCAAACATAATGAGTTGTGATTGTATGGTACGGTATCGTTTTGGAATTCGGTACCGTTACATTTTGGATTTTTGAATGAACTTTTAGTTTTACTGAAAAACAGTAATTGTTGTAGCATGCGACTAATATTCTAATAGGTTAAAATATATCCGGTCTCAGATAAAAACAAGTTATTTACATACATCAGTAAGTTCACCCTGACCATACGGGTTGTAACTGAAGTTGGTGTGTGGGTTTTTAGGGTATGTCGCTAATCCATCTGGTGTCTTATCGCCATGTCTAAAAAGCTACATAATTTTGAATTATTTCCCATTGCTTTCCGGTTTTTTAACACATACTGCCGCAACTAATTTTAGTTCATCTGTCTCGAACTGAAAAACGTGCCACAGTGTTGTAAATATAACCACGCAACATATCGTTTTCATTATCACACGTCCAGCTCTTATACAAGCGGGAGATATATTGATGGAGAAGTGTGAGGTATCATTGATATAAGGTTATAACCCCTTTCACGCGATGTACGATGTAAAAATTGTGGAAGGGGTCAATACACAGACCCTCGTTAAAAATGATGAGATCAAAGCGTTACAAAAACGGTTGTCTCGAGTCGAAAGGACGTGTTTTAAACATTTGCGCTTTGAAGAAATTGACAAGGTTCGAAACCATAGCGCAAGTTGTCCACTTCAATGAGCGATAATTGAATGACGATACATGATACTACATATCATGATGACGATATATAGTCCTCTTTTAATTGGCTGATTTTAATAACGAAAAATTCCAGCAGCCTAATCTTAGTGCTCCGAGTCGTGGGCAAAGGGTACATTTTTGTTGATAAAACTCTAAATTTACGGATGTAATTATTGTATTTAGGGTGGCCACTTAATTTTATAAAAAACTAAGAAAATCAAAGTTGCTTGAATAATATAGCGATGACGTTTTATAAATTGTGACTCGAGTCATTAATCGACAATAAAGTTAGTTACACACACACAATAATTATTATGAAAACCCTTATACCATAATCAGCTCTGTGATGTATCAGAACCGTCAAACTTAACGTGCGGGTTATCTACCAAAAAACGATATTTTGCGTTATTTATTACCCATAGGCAGAATTACGTTTTTGATAGATAACCTGCGCGTTAAGTTTAACGTTAGTGATACATCACAGGGCTAATTATCTAATAATCTATACATCGAAAAAGTAACGATATATTGGTAGTTGATACCAAACGCATTAACAAAAAAAGTTTTAGCATTGGAAATGCTTATGCTTTGTGTGGGTATGAAGTTACCAGTTTCGTCAAGCAGAAAAGAAAGCAGTGGTGTCGTATCAAGTGATGATTGTGCCGTACCGAATCAAAATAGAAATAGGCTGGGAAAAAAAGAACTTACCAATAAAAAAAACCAACCGTCAAATTAATATCAAATTGTGTTGTAAAATTAATTATTTGTAATGATGTGATTGTGTAACATAAAATTATAACATCACAAAAAGTAGCAGGTATTCAAGAGGTAACATATAGGTTAAAAAACAAGTTTTGGGAATTAGGGTCAGGTAAGCAGGTACCAAGATTCTAAGAAAAGGTGAAATACACAGGATGTGACTCATCTTTGGTGTAATAGTCCTTTTGTTAAAAGCAACATGGAAAATTACATAGTCTTGTAGGCAAAATTAACTAAAAACAAGATATGTGGGAATTATTGAATCGCCACTCATTTATCGCACATAGATTCTAAACTGAAAAGCTTTAATTACCGTAATAGCGCTCCTGCAAGATAGGTAACCCGTCCCTGGTTTCGGGGTTTCGAACCTACAGTTGAATGTCGAAGACAATCACGGAATTAGGTGTCGTAGCTCAATTTTGACTACAGTTTTTACCACTCCCGTGACTGCTTCATTCACGGAGAAAATTGTTAGTAACAAACAAGTCAGTACATACATCAAACGAATCGGTAATTTCCACATATTAAAATAACATGATCAAAACTTATATGAATGTTACTTCAGGGACAAGACCAAGTAATCAACATCAATATACATAAATTGAGCACGCATTACACCAAAAACGTAAACAATTACAAACAATAGCATAACGGTATCACATATGTGATTATGCATTGCGGTTAAACCAAGTAAATTTCAAAAACAAAGATTCAACGCACACAACAAAATATAAAATGTGGCATACAAAACACAAATACGATATTAAAAGAAATGCAAAAATTACTACCTGCATTAAATAACACAAAATAACGACAAACATTTATGGAGCGACGCGTTCACTACCGCCATTCAAAACAAGATGCTAAACGTAAGCCCCGTTCGTGCTTTTTAGATGGCTCAGGCAACTTTCAAAAATATATGTATCGTCGTAAGTAGAACCTCTCAAAATAAATGAGAAAACTTACAGTGAGCCTCTTCCAGGCACGATTAACAACTTTGAAAGTCAATGACCTTTTACTCAAATTACAATATTTTCTACTTGTATTATAGGCTTTCTTAAGACGATACTGGACATCCTTAAATGGATCAGACATGCCTTCTACATCACCCACGCTCTGCATTTTCTCACTAATATTTAAAACGTTATCTTTATCTTACTTCACCATAAAAATCACCCTGCATCGGAATTTGACGAACAAACATGAGAAACGCAGCACTGTAACCAGCATCGTTCTTAGATAACCGTAGAGCCTGAGACATTTTAGAAATATTAACATCCCAGTCACGGTGGTTTTCATGCAGATACAAAGATATGGTGGTAATAAAAACCCGATTACTCCTTTCAGTGTAATTCACTTGATATTTGGCTTTCTAGAAATTTAATAGCAACAGCAAAAGTTGCTTTAGGTGAAGGTACATCCAGGTACGTAAACACGCAATCAGAAAAACTTTCATCAATAATCATATCCTCTATCGTTGCATGGTAGCAGGAGTATTAGTGAGCCCAAAGGGCATGGTAAAAAACTCGAATAAACCTTTCCCAGGGACAACAAAGGCACGAGATGACTCAGATAAAGGTAGGTTCCAAAAGGCAGAAGGTAAAGGGGACAAGTCATTTCTAGAAACCAAAAGAAATGAAGTATGTGAAGGTATGGCAGCCTCTTTACTAAATGTATTCCATGAGATCACCCCCTAATTATAAGGTAGCTGGATCATTAAGGTGACCGACACGAATCAGCCGATTTTCTAATCGTTTAGCAGTCTTGCGCAAATTACCAGCGACACCTGACAGGCAATCACGGATTTCCTTATGAGACAAATTAATTTGCTCCTCATCTTCAGTAAATAAATCAGGAGCCACAAATGTAAATCAAAGCACGTTGATTTAGTCCATTGATGGAGTATAAAATTTATGTCTAGATTTATGCCCTTCTGCCGTTTGTTAATTATCTATTCAAATTCCTCTAAAAATACAATAAAACAAATTAGCTAGGATGTGCTAAGATCCAGATTTCGAAACTTTAATAAATTGCGAATTTAAGTTGGCGCCCAAATCCGTTCCTCTTCGTCACTCTGGTTAGCAGTTTTTGACTTCTTTTACTAGTTATTACATCTGTATGCCAGTTACCATTTGGGACCAGAATTTTGTATCTACGTGAAAAAATTAATAATAAAGATTCTGTTTTCACGAGTTTTTAGTCTAAGTAGCCATGGATTATGATAAAAGAGAAACATAATCCATGGCTACGTAGCCTAAAAACTCGTGAAAACAGAATCTTTATAATTAATTTTTTCACGTACAAGAAGAGGTAGAATAATCGTTTCACATGATTTAGATGCAGAATTTATATCTCTATAACTTTTATTTGAAGTATTTTTGCGTAAAATACTTAGGAAACGTTTGCACAAAGAAAAAGACATTTCCCATGTTAAACGCCTATGTTCCACTTTTCGATTTACACCCTGTACATACAGACGGAAAAAAATTTTATTCTTTGAAAGTTGCTTAAAATGAATTAAACGTCGACATTTGATCAAATTTTGACATGTCCAAAATACGGCGATCGCAATAGCTACCCTAGCTCATGCTAGGAAGCTAAAAAAAGCGTATTGGTTACCTGATAAAATTTGTAAGTGCATTTATTTATTTATGAAACAGAAAATAAAAAACAAAAGTCGTTATTAAAAAAGTTGTTAATCCTACGATTCAACTAGGAAAATCGTATCCTGTGTCTAATTATTTAACAATGGTCATTGTCGCCAGGAATGCTTCTATCGACAGTCTTTTTGAATTTTTCTAGTGGACAGAGCACATCGCATTCAGGTAGTCTCATTTCTTTAAATCCTTTTGAATAGTCTTGTTGATACAATACCTGAAATTGTTGTATAGTTATTTTAGAGTTTTCTTATGTTATAAAAACAAACGCAAGTTTTGAAAGTTTTCAAAGCTTGTGCAGTGTATTATTCGCATTTGCCAACCTTTACGTAAGGATCGTGACCTATCTGGTATAATTCTATTATAATACACGCGGTGTAATAAGGAATGTGTGCCCAGTGGAGTTCCATTGCCCCCAATAATCCAACAACGTTCAAATCATGTGCAGAATACAAAAAGAGTCTTTTTGTTTCCATATTCGTATCGATGTTGCGCAAGATTTCATTGAGCAAAACACCTGCAGTAAATATCACTTTATTTTGTAAAAACTTTCAAGCATATCCTTTCCTCCAAAAAGTTTGTTAAGACCTGGCCATGCTACCATTGACATATAAAAATCTTCAACCGCAGACATTAAATACTGATATACGGGTTTTGCCCAAGTAGGTGTTTTCATCCCCCATTCTTTCTGTTCAAAAAAATTTCTCAGTTACAAAAGTAGCTGATGTACAAACACATACATTAGATTTGATAGTTTCAAAAATAGGCACTAACTGCACGATATTCGTGATATTCACTCCCGTGTGCTCGTATATGTAGGGAAAATGTTCTGCGTACTTTTTAAATAATTTTCTTCCCTCTTCGGATGCTTTATACTGCTTGTAAATTTCTTGATACCGTGGACAAAAAATAATTGGAAACGAAAGAAGCTGCAAAATCTCATTATCACCTCTTTTTTATATACAAACATTCTTACTCTACTATTTTGGACTGGTGCAACTTCAAAATGAAATTGTTTTAAAGGATGACTGAGATCGAAGTTGTCTTTGTCGTCAAATAGTCCGTTTAGTACTAAGTACAAACTGTCTTTGGTTCTGTTAAAATCAGTACTTGTCGCTTTTACTTCAACTCCATCTAGATATTTACTATACATTGTTCTTAGTGCATTGCCTAGTAGGTACGCTCGTCTTCTTCCTTGCTACGGATATATATCCAATTGGGTTAATAGTAGTGCGTACAAATAAACATAACATTGCATGGCTACTACATCGTTTAATCTGAGACCGAAGCATGCATATAAATATTCTGCCGCAATGGCGCGAATCTAGTTACTCAAAATTATCTGGCGAAACATAATGAGTAGTGATTTTATGGTAAGGTATCGTTTTCGAATTCGGGATCTCTTGCTAAACGGTACCGTTACATTTTGGTTTTTTGAATGGACTTTTAGTTTTAGGTACTGAAAAACAGTATATTGTTGTAGCATGCGACGAATATTCTAATAGGTTAAAATATATCCAATCTCAGATAAAAACTGGTTATTTACATACATCAGTAAGTTCACCCCGACCATACGGGCTGTAACTGAAGTTGGTGTGTGGGTTTTTAGGGTATGTCGTTAATCCATCTGGTGTCTTATCGCCATGTCTAAAAAGCTAAATAATTTTCAATTATTTCCCATTGCTTTTCGGTTTTTTTAACACATACTGCCGCAACTAATTTTAGTTCATCTGTCTCGGTCTGAAAAACGTGCCACAGTGTTGTAAATATAACCACGCAACATATCGTTTTCATTATCACACGTCCAGCTCTTACACAAGCGGGAGATATATTGATGGAGAAGTGTGAGGTATCATTGATATAAGGTTATAACCCTTTTCACGCGATGTACGATGTAAAAATTGTGGAAGGGGTCAATACACAGACCCTCGTTAAAAATGTTGAGGTCAAAGCGTTACAAAAACGGTTGACTCGAGTCGAGAGGACGTATTTTAAACATTTGCGCTTTGAAGAAATTGATAAGGTTCGAATCATAACACACAGCCATAGCTCAAGTTCTCCACTTATGTCACGATGAGCGATAATTGAATAACGATATATCGCCCTCTTTTAATTCGCTTATTTTAATAATGAAAAGTTCCAGCAGCTCAATTTTAATGCTAAGAGTGTTTGGCAAAGAGGTAAGTATTTTGTTCATAAAACTCTAAATTTACGGATGTAATTATTGTATTTAGGGCGCCACTTAATTTTATAAAAAAACTAAGAAAAGCAAAGTAGCTTGAATAAAATATAGCGAAGACGTTCTGGTAGGAATTCTTTAAATAATGGAAATTTCTACCAAAGGGTGCGTTAGTTTGATGAAAGACGCATGAGTATCACCAGTTCCCTCATCATTACTCCCATTTTCCTGAAATTGGCCATATAAGAAAGAACAGAGCCAGAATTGGAGATTCGTTCACCTATTTCCCTGGATAGTATAGTAGGGGAGATAGCTCGAAATCCACTGAACGAGAGTGATCAAAATTTTAACCGAAGAAGTTTCACGTTGGCCTCTCCGCGTATGCTAAAATCGACAGCCTCCTGCCGCCTCAGGTCATGTTACTTAAGGCTCTGCGGTACTTCTTGAGGTACCAATTCTAAATGGTTTTTTTAAAGAAAATAAGTTACACGCGGAATGAAAACTTTAAGAATAGCTCTTAAAAAATCGCAAACATTTGATAGATCTGTACAAAAACAATTCTTGGTCGGTTTTTCACAAACTTTCTACAGATATACATGACTAGGTTATGGTTGGATGAATGAAGCTGATTTTTTACAGACTAATGATAGTTACTCTTAATGACTTGACGGTGTTTTTTTTTAAATTTTTTCTCTAATTATAAGATATCTTTTAATAATAAGATAATAAAAATAAAGAAAAATACAAAAGAAGCAAGCGAAAGAAAATGATTTACTTTAGCTGCTCGCATATTTGGACAAATTCCACTACAAATAAACTGTTCGAACCAATATAGACAACGAACGACAAACAAACAGTTCACATAACCAAAATATAAGCAGTTAGTCCCTTCATCATTATCTAGGATTCACCCTATAAGATTTATTAACCCTTGGAAGTAACAGAGACAGCAGTTTATAAAATGATTATCATAAGAGCAATATGCAATAGCGGGGAATCAAACTGAATGTATTTTTTAGGCTATCATTACAAAAACGTTGATTTTGTGGACGCTTTTGCGGCCATAAAGTTTAACTTTATTGTACGCTTCTGTCAAACTTTACTTTATTGTACACATCTGTCAAACTGTAGCTACTTATTTGAAACTGATGTGTGAGAAACAGTAATCTGTTTAATACAAAGCGTCTATCTGGTCTAGCCCCATCAAGGATTGGGCCATCCACGTGCGTTTTTTTCATTTTCGGACTTGTAGGAATGTTTCACACTATTTTGCATAATCACAATGTTCACATTTAAAATTATAGTTTGACGTTTCAATCTTTGCTGCTTGCAGACCTTTTTGAAGTGTAGAACCAAAACATGAGGAAGATGTTATTGCTTACATTATTATACGAAGAATCAATCACCAGCAATTAACCGAGAACACAAGTAGCTACCTATACCTGCCATCAAAGTAGGTAATCAGGTTTCTAATAATTGTACAGCATGTTAACTATAAGGTCTTGGAAGCCACAGTTACGAAGGACCTATTGCATTTGACATTATTAAAATCTTGTGCAACGGAGGAAGTTGCGATTGTACTTTTACTCTCAAACGCCTGCTATTATATCATACATGACTTAGAGTCGCAACGCTTGCAGCTTCCAAAATTTCATTTGGGGTATCTGAATTGTCGCTATCACCCATTTTGATACGCACAAAACACACGCAAAGATGCTAATTATAATTTATTACATACGACAGGAAATGCTTTGTTTTTAATTGTCTAAGATAACTATGATTTTCAGAAAAAATATGTTTATGAGCAAATTTTTGAATTCTTTTTTGATGATCGCCTAAAAAATGTTGTGTGCACCTTGGCCAAAAGTGATTTGTTAGGCCTCATCTGAATTGCGGCCTCGGCTACCGCCTCGGCCACAAACAGCAGCTTCGGCCAAAAAAGATCACTTTTACGGCCTTGGTACACAAATAACTATTTTTTCTATTTCGATATTAAAGTGAACTCATTATCGCACCGTTGTCAATTGTTTGCGGTTTGATAATGAGATCCATTAACGCACTTTTTAAAGTTTGTACCTTGCTCCTCTAGGCCAACCGAACGTTTTCTTTGGTAAAAATACATTATTTCCATTAGACTATGATATAATAACGAAATGAAGAACTACGTAATTACTTTTGAAATGGATAATGTTACAAGATGTTTAATAACCTCTATGGGATCGGAATACATTACCCAACCAACCTATTAATTCCGAAGATTAATAAATCTTATGGGGCCAACCTTCTAGGGGCGAATTTGTTGGAGACAAATTTACTTGGGGACGAATATTCCGGGGGCGAATTTACCGCACACCAAGGGTACATGAACGTATTGCTACGTAAACAAAGTTATGTTGACGTTTTGTTGGTACTGGCACGTGTAATAATAAAAAGTCTCTGTGTTCTCAATTTTTGTAAGGTTAAATGTGGCGGTATCAAAAAGGCCACATTTGCAATTGAAATTAAGTCAATAATCAAAAGAGAGAGAAAACAAATGAAGATTAGTGTTTGTGTTTTTGTGGATATTAGGATTATTTACTCTGTAACGTAATTAAATTTTTTAACTTATTTCAATCGATCGCATGTGCATGTTATATTCTTCAAAGGCCTTGAGCGCCTTTCATTATTTTCAAGTGTACTAGTTCTTAGTTTATGCCGAATAAATTTATTTTGTTTGAAATGATCGTGTTTAATCGAACCCAAATGACGACTCAGGATGTAAGAGTTCTCAAGATAAATTCTTTATTCGTACTCAGGGTTATGCTATCCAGTTGTAATATAATTCTTAGAATTGTAGTTAAGCGGTTAAGGCTGCTGAAGATCTCGCATAATTAAATGTAAGCCTTATCGAGATTTTCGTTGTAGCTCTACAATTTTTAGCACCCGCACGTTAGTGTAAGGGAGGTATTGCATTCGGGTAAAAAATTACCTCCCACTTTTTTACAGAAATGCACGTTTTGAAGCATCAGGAATCTTAACATATTCAGAAAGATACTAAATAATGGTATAAGGTTCACCAGAAATTGTAATATTGAACACTATCTCGCATTAAAAAAGCGTATTGCTTACTAAGATCATTTATTGATTTATCAAACAGAAAATAAAAGATAACAGTTGATAAAAAAAATGAAACCCTGTGAATCAACCAAGAAAATCGTATCCTGTTTAGCTAACAGGTGTCATTGTCGCCAGGGATGTTTCTATAGACGGTATTTTTAAATTTTTCTAGTGGACAGAGCACATCGCATTCAGGTAGCTTCATTTCTTTAAAACCTTTTGAATAATCTGCTTGATACAACACCTAAAATTGTTGTGTAGTTATTTTAATTAGTAGTTTTTCTTGTTCAAAAACAAATAATGCAAGTTTTGAAAGTTCTACTTTTCGACAGTAGTGAAGGCAATATTATTTCAACGCATATTTACAAAACAAGATTTAATTCGAAGCACATCTTTCTTTTGCAGACCAAGAAAAACTGTTCACAATACCTACATCATACTCGGGATATTTGTAAATGTAAATGCCCACTCAAAAAAAAAAATAAATAAAGGCAGATAAATAAATAAATCTTGTAAGAACTACGCCTTTCAAAGCTTGTGCAATGTATTATTTGCATTTGCCTACCTTTACGTAAGGAATGTGACCTATCTGGTGTAATTCTATTATAATGCACGCGGTGTAATGCGGAATGTGCGGCCAGTGGAGTTCCATTGCCCCTAATAATCCAAAAAGATTCAAATCATGTGCAGAATACAAGAAGAGTCTTTTTGTTTCTATATCCGTCCCGATGTTACGTAAGATTTCATTGAGCAAAACACCTGCAATGAATAGGTGTCACTTTCTTTCTCTTTCAAGGGTATCTTACCTCCAAACAGTTTGTTGAGGCCTGGTAACGCTACCGTCGACATATAAAAATCTTCACCTGCAGACATTAAGTACTGATAAACTGGTTTTGCCCAAGTAGGTATCTTTATCCCCCATTCTTTCTGTTCCAAAAAATTGCTCAGTTACAGAAATACCTTATGTGCAAACACATACATTAGATTTGATACTTTCAAAAATAGGCAGTAACTGCCATAGATTCGTGATATTGACCCCTGTGTGCTTGTATATGTAGGAAAATTTTGCTGCATACTTTTTTAATAATTTTCTTCCCTCTTCGGATGTTTCATACTGCTTGTAAATTTCTTGGTACCGAGGACAATAAAAAAATGGAAACGACAGAAGCTGCAAAACTTTCTCATTAACACTTCTTTTTTTCTCTACACATTCTTACTCTGTTATTTTGGACTGGTGTAATTTCAAGATTAAAGTGTTTTAAAGGATGACTGCGATTGAAGTTGTGGTTGTCGTCAAACAGCCCGTTTAGAACTAAGTACAAACTGTCTTTTGTTCTGTTAAAATCAGTACTTACGGCTTTTACTTCAACTCCATCTAGATATTTATTATACATTGTTCTTAGTGTATTGCCTAGTAGGTACGCCCGTGTTCTTCCATGCTACGAAGTTTCGAATAGAGGTAATAGTAGTGCGTACAAAGAAAACTTAACATTGCATTGCTCATACATCGTTTATTCTGAGACCGATCGCTCTGAGGCATGCAATAAATATCCTATCCTAATCGTTTATTAAAACATTAGTTTGTAATGTAAACAATTATGATAGGGTGACAAGAACGACTATCATCTATCATAATAGCACATTATAAACGAATGTTTGACGCTATTTTATGGCTGTGTGCTAGTTGCTATGACGTTTTTTCCAAACCATTCAACTTTTCCCATAAAACAAAAAAATGAAGGCGTCATCATCAAAAGGCGAAATTAATAAAAAAGCAAAAGAAATAATGCTTAGTTTGGTTCCCAGAAGATCTGAAACCGCTTACAACAAAGGTTTTGAAAAATTGGCTTCGTGATTATGATAAAAAGGGAACTGACGGAACAAATTCTACTTGTTGACTTTGTAGACCGGAAACCTTTTAATTTTGCTCATATTTATTCCCTTTTCTTTTATTAATCGAAGGTGTACAAAGCCTCATCTTTATAGTGCACTGAAATGTATGCTGTAAATAAAAAATAACGTGGATATTGGCGGGGTCCCAAATTTATGGCCTTCATAAAAAGTCATTCGATGGGTTACCTATGTACCAGAAAAAATTTACTCTTACTTGCCCTATTGCCGCCGACGTAGGAAAGAACGCAACTCGTCGAGGACCAGCTTCCAAGGGACATTCCAAAATTTAAAAGATGGCCACATAAAATAATTACAACATGTCAGCGGGCTAAAGAGGATTTACTATAATTAACAATGACAAAAATTGTTGTTTTGATGTCCTGCGTGTGACAAAGGCAATTTTGACTGTTCATTAATTATAGTGTCGAAATTTGTCTCCAAATTAGTGGAAGAAATTCGGAAAACGCTTTCAAGACGTTCCTCAGTTATCCTGTTCATCAACCTGTTTTTACGAATATAGACGACTGGGTATGACACACAATTTTTAGTATGCCAACGAGACAATTATAAGACTACTGGACTACAAAATAATCACTTTGATGCTTTTGGTTTTTTGAATGGCCTTTGTTTTTACTGAAATTCAGTGTATAGCATGCGACTGTTTCCAATACCATCAATTAAAGCATTTACCGTCTCAAATAAAAACGATTATTATATTTACATACATCAGTAAGTTCACCCCGACCATACGGGCTGTAAGTCAAGTTGGCGTATGGGTTTTTAGGGTACGTCGCTAATCTCGCCGGTGTCCTATCTCCATGCCTAAAAAGCTAAATGATGTTGAATTATTTCTCATTGCTTTTCGTTTTAACACATACTGCCACAACCAATTTTAGTTCATCTGTCTCGGTCTGAAAACCGTGCCACAATGTTGTAAATATAACCACTGTGCAAATCGTTTTCATGATCGCAGATTCAGTTCTTTTACAAGCAGAAAACGTTTAGTGTGAGACGTCCTTTTTATAAGCGTTTTATGACCCGCGCATATGAATGATAAAAAATGATGTAAGGGGTCAAGACAAAGAAGATAGACCTGCGATAAAACTGCGCTGCAAGGTCGAGGTCAATGCGTTAAACAATTGGATTTGAGAAAAAATTGTTGTCCCAAGCTCTTGATACCTACACTAGAGGGCGTGTTTTATTTAAACCTTTGCGCTTTGAAGAAAGTGACATGGTCCAAATGATAAGCCAAACCGTTGAGTTTTTCACAATCAACAACCATAGCGCAAGGTGTCCATCTGTCCATCTGTGTCGCGATGAGCAATAATTGAATATGGCAAATTAATGGAAAACCTATAAACCTTCTGATTGATTTACAGCAGCCACTCCACTGGTTTTGAACAGTGGAGGATTATCCATAAGGTACATTAGGCAAAAGTGCAGGCGGGATCTTATTGTTATCATTATGTGTAATGAAAACGTAAGGTTATCTTGCTCCAGGAACTGATAAATGTTACGAAAGATTAGGAGAAGATTGCACTATTTTGAAATGCTTATAAATTCACTTGGATTCTTCTGATAGTGATACTAATTTAATAATATGAAATCGGGTAAAGATTTTGCATTGAGGTCCACAATGTTGAACATTTTCCCTTGGTAATTTCATAATAAATCGTGAATATGATTCATTATTTAAGAAAATCAAAAACTTACAAAGAGAAAGTGATATGCCCATGTTAAGTATCTATCATACACATTCATAACATCGATATTTTCAAATTATTTATACATGACATTAGCGGATCCGTTCGCCAGATCGGTCCGTCCTCACTTATCCGCCGACCGATCCGCTGACCGCTAAGAAGGGAAGAAAGGCGCGTAGCGGTCAGGGTCGGGTTATGAGTTCGCCAATCTGACCACTGAACCCGCGTACCGACCCCGATCAATCAACCGGTTTATGTGTGGAGACTAGGGTGGTTTATCGTGCAGCTCCAGTCTACAGCAGCTGAACGTGTGTTAATAAAACTAAATTAAAAGTTTATTTTAAAGATAACCCCTAAAGCGAATCTAAAAAATTTGTAGAGCACCTCGGCGTGACTCAGCTATGGGGTTATTGGATTGAGCCATTTTCAACGGGCTTGTTACATATGGCATATAGTTCAACTGTGTACAGTTTGAACCGATTCGGCTCAAGCGTTTAGCAGTTATCGTGTCCAAATAACAAACAGCAAATAACAGACAGCACAGCTGGCTAGACGGGAACCATCGACTCCACTATAACGCTTGGTTCGCTTTGCTCGGCCGCCTAATAAAGTGTTTTGGGTGGAATGTATCGTTTTATATTAAGAAATTTCATGCGTTTAGGATATCGAGAGTAGACATTCTCGCAACAAGCAAAAAAAAATACTGTGGCTAGCACAGATACCACCCGAATCCCAGCGCATGAGATTCTGCCCTATTAAGTCTAAGAATATGTATACCAAATTTGGCTCCAATAGGTTCAGTTTAGCCGGATATGAGAGTTTGACACACTTGCGCATGCGCGAAACTACAAAAGCTTTTCAGCTCTTCCTTTTATGTCCAATTGGTTCTTTGAATTTAATTTGAATACGGTCGCGATCGCTGTTGAGAGTACCAATCACATGCGTAACCGTAAGAGACAGCTTGCTCTCTTAGTTTTCTCTTCTCTCTCACCTGCAGTATCCACGCTTATCATTGACACGCGCAGTCCATTTATTAGATTTATTACGCATTAGTTCAATAACATTATTTCATTAATCCAATAGAAACAAAGGTATGATTTCGTTGGTTAGCGACGCACAATAAACCTTTGTTTCTATTGGCTATTTCTCAGTGATCCAATGATAGTGAATTAATGATAATAATTGTGTAAACTCACCATTTATCTTGGCATTTACATTGGACATACGCAACGCCTATCGGTTTAATGATTTCTCCTATAGTTGTTCTGAGTTTTATACTTATGTGTTTTATAAATTCTTTTTCCGGCATTTAGTCTTTTACAGTCCTTCAACGACATTGATATTAGTGTGGCTCCTGTGTCAAATTCCATCTTCAACCTTTCAAGTTTTATGCTTCCGGAGATTGTATTTCAGAGGATTTTCCAGAGATCCAGTCAATATTTGTATTTATGTTGTTGTAATTGTGATGTAGGCATACATGGGCAAGGTGCCCGATTTTTATGACATTTGTGGCATGTAGTATTCTTTGCGCCGCATTCGTTGGATTCGTAATCCGCAGCGGACACATTTTTCTTTTAGGTCTTTTGCATTAACTGTTGTTTTTATTTGGTGTTGGGCCCATAGATCTTCTATATGTGTTAGTGGATACATTGAATTCTTTCATATTCTTAATTCACTTTTATCTGAACTAGCCTGGGAGCTAGGCAAACATTCATAAATCTATATCTATTAGCCGCCGTCGTTCGTCTAGTGGTTGTGTCGTTGAGCTGCCACGTGAGCAGCCCGGGTTCGATTCTCGGTCGATGCAGAAATTTTTTATATTCCTTTTCCGGACCCTTAACCTTCTTATTCATGGGCCGCTAGTAGCACCTTTCAATAAAGCCAAATCGATTGATTATATGTATTAAACATATGAACAGATGCCACAAATGTAAAATTCTTACCTCAGCCTAGGTTCGAACACTCGACCTTCCGACTATGTAGCCCAACGCTCTAACACCGAGACACATAGTGAAGTTATGCAACGAGTACATTAAACGCGTCACAAGCTACATGCAAAAGTATTTGTGTAGTAGATAATTCGCTCAATAAAGGGGAAGGTACTGGGTCTCAACAAAACTCTTCCGTACGGAAAAGTTAAGTTTTAAAGAAACTCATTTTTATGTAGCATTTCTACATTCGCCAGACTAATTCTGATGAAACAAGTGTATGTAAATGCGAAAACTTCTTACAAAAATACTCCGATTTAGATCTCACGAATTGGCCTAACCATCACATTTCACGTGCAGTGAAAGATTATTAAATCACACACAGAAATAACACGAAAATAATTTGCGACATATATATTTAGAAGCGCCATAGGTTTGATGCGTCGCTGCTGTCATGATCCGGGTTTTATCTTTATAATTAGAAATTGGAATACACAGATGAATATGGTACGAAGCAAATTAATACAGCTGTCCACGGCACCTTCACTAAAGGGCCAGCGCAGAAGAAGATGGTAGAGACTAAGTAAGGGCATCACATAATATGACCAACAAAAATCTTTGGGAACTAATTTGGCGTCGGCTTTTCGCTTTTAACTTTTAACTTTTTTTTTAACTTGAATACCTCGTTAGACATACAGCTACTTACTAAAAATGTCGCTATTTGTATTAAATTTTAATTTTGTTTGGATCCAAAAACATAATTTGTGATAATCTACTATTTGTAGTTAATTCCTGTAGTAAATTTGTTATTATCTTAATATCGGTTTCTTTTACGATGTTCTCTGTGTCCCCGTCGGAGGTCGTGCAGAGTTTTCTCTAATTTCTTTCGGCGCACGCACTTCTTTGTACAAAGACGAGAGTCGATCATTACTTGCAGAAGAACATACACTGATACTTCACTGGCGGATTTACGGATATAATTTACAAGTGCAAGTCTAAGTTATGTCTTCGGTATGTTAACACAAATTACGCATTTACCTTTTAACATTGAATAATCATTAGGATTCTTACTTCTTGTTTACTCTTTTCGTCATTGTTACATCGATATTCCTGAGTAGAAACCGCATTTTTGGATTTTCTCAATATTGAACAAGAAACAATCATTTGGCTAGGTCCACCGCCATAGATGAGTTTCTACATTACCGGCTGGGTAAATTCTATTTCAATTCTACCAACTTCTGTGACCTACTTACACACAAAGTTTATAGACCTACACTTCGATCATTGTTCCTGAGTTATAATTGCAGGTACTAACGAACCGTTTGGAGAACATTAGATGTAAATTGCTTCGATACGTCCGATTTTACTTACACTATCTGTGGCGTTGATGAAGAATATACTTATCGAGAGCTAACACTACCTAGTATTGCTTTGTGACTCCGATGTTCTACCAACTGGCAAACTGATAAAGTTCCTTTACAGTATTATAAACGCGTCAATTTTAGGTAAATTAGCAACTTAAACATATTTCAATCACTCGACAGTTATTCGAAGCACTGTAAATGTTTATAGTAATCAAACACTTACCTATCGATTATTTTAGCACGTTAATTTTCGTTTAGAAGCACTGTTAAAAACATGACGGAATCCAATGGCAGGTGAAAGGAACGTACACATCATTTCGAACATAAATCGATCACTGGTCATCCCGAAACTGGTTTTAACACATTCCTCGCACATTTATCGATTTTTTGAGACCTCATTCGACATTCTCCAAAACGGCAGTTACTGCGTTAAGGTGGCCCAGAAACAATTGGAAGCGCTCACTTTGCAGACCTTCAGAAGAAAATATATAGCGGTGCCGCCATTCAAGTTGCCTTCCGCAGGTACGTACGCCGATTCCGTCCTCGAATCTCTTTGCTGGAGCCCGCTATTCCAAAACGCGCGTTTTTCCCCTCGACCCGCGACCTCTCCACGCACAATTTTACGTTTTGCTCTATCTCTCACGGGTTAGGTGGTAAAAGGCCTTAAAGTTGGAAAATGCGAAAAACCCGAGTTTCGCGAGGGGCAGTCGAATTATCCCCCGAATCCCATCGCCGCACAAATACGCTCTTCCACGTCCTCCACGATCTCCAGAAAACCGAAATTGGATACTGGAAGTGGCCATTTTTTAACCGCGCCCGCGCACCTCGACGTAGATGCTCCACAGCCGCTCCGGGACATTTTTGATCTACCGATTTTTTAGTATCGTTGCGAAATAGTTTAAAGAAATGCTAATAAAAATTTCAGCAAAATCGGTAAATTTTTAAAGAAATTAAAAATGAAAATGCCCGAGTTTACTATTTAAGGGAGGATGGCGATTACCGATTGGTTACGGAAACACGAACTGCCATTAAAGGTTAAAATAACCTGCTGTTTGCAGAACCAGCCTAATTCTGGCCTCACTGATAGGTGTAGTAAACTTTTTACAACTCGGAAATGCTCCAATTTATGTTCATGAAATGATAAAATTAAAATATAAAGTAAAATACAACAGAAGCAAGCAAAAGGAAAT